TCGAAGAAGTCCTCTCCAAGGGCAGCTTCCATGACTACTCGGAAAGGAGTAATTCACACTGCAGTCGAGTCCATGATGATGATGACGACGGCGACGGCATCTTCAAGGTTGACGAGAAAGCGAACATGGTGAATGTGGCAATTATTTGAGGGAACGCTCCTCTCCTTTGAGTTCTCTTGTTCCGAGGAACTTTGTAGTGTATTTATATTGATAGGTACATGTCGACTGGTAGCTATAGTGACCGCGTCAGGTACCCTACTAGCTAGAGGCAGGAATGCCCATGCCCAGGGACGGTTGGGTGGGTCTAGTCCTACGAGAACGGAAACCTGCATTTACCGTACATGAGGACCTTGCTGGCTTGGATCCTGGCTTCGTCTGAACACCTATTCCCTCAACTTGGGACAGTTAGTTGTCCATGATCAGGCTAGAGTGGTAAGGACATCCATAAGGACATAGATCGAGCTGAGCGACCGGTACTGTCGTACTATTTAGACTAGTACCCTCGAATGGCGATCGCGGAAAGTCGCGCAAGTCGTTAAAGTCGCGAAGAAAGTCGCTTTGTCAAAATTGTGGTGAAAGTTGGTAAAGGCGTTTAAAGTCGCGATTTTAAGCAATCAAATTACTAATAAAGCCACGCAAAGTTGCAAAGACACGAAAGTCGCAGTAAACGTCGTTTTTTAAAAGGTCGCGCGATTTTCAAAGTTGCGAAAGTCACGCGATGTTTAGCGACTTTCACGACTTTCTCAGGAAAGTCGTTATCTGCCGTAGGGGCTTCACCGCCCGTCACCGGTACGGGCATTTCCACTCTCAATACATGTAATGACCGCACAGCGCAGATAGACTAGATGATAGATATCGTACTGTACTACTACTAGCTAGTACTGCGTACCGGTAGCAATTCGCAAGAGCCCCTGCCTTGAAAGGGTCAAGAATAATCATTAGCGAGAGTGTGAGTGACGAGTGACGAGTTTTTCGGGATTAGATCTATTTTAGTAAGTGGTTGGAGGTAACACAAACTGTTGTGGCTGTTGCGCGTCAACCCATCGTCTGCTTTGCTGCCCTTGTGGTGTGGTTTAGTGGAAGCAACAGCGTTGTTACCATCTGTGAATTGCATCTTAGCTAGAAGCATCGAATCAAGATAGACGACCATGCAGATCTTCGTGAAGACCTTGACGGGTAAGTTGGGATATGATTGCGGCAGGGGCGTACCTCCTCTGTTGCGGGATGTTCGTCAGTGGCACATTGGCTCGAATCGTTTCTTCGATGGCTCAACCTTCTCTGTTCGTCTTTTTCTGTCGTCTCAGGCAAGACCATCACTCTTGATGTGGAGCCCAGTGACACCATTGATAATGTGAAGACAAAGATCCAGGATAAAGAGGGTATCCCACCGGATCAACAGCGTTTGATTTTTGCTGGAAAGCAGCTGGAGGATGGGCGCACCCTCAGTGACTACAATATCCAAAAGGAATCCACGCTTCACTTGGTTCTAAGGCTTCGTGGAGGCGGAAAGAAGAGAAAGAAGAAGGTCTACACTAAGCCAAAGAAGGTCAAGCGAACCAACAAGACAATAGCTCTTCAAACCCTCAAATACTATCGGGTTGAGAGTGACGGCAAGGTGACACGCCTTCGCAAATACTCTCCTGTTGCTGGAATTGGTTGCTTCATGGCTCAGCACCATGATCGCTACTACTGCGGAAAAACTGGGACCACTTTCTTGTATGATGACATGAAGGAGTAAGGCACTAGAACCGAACCGAAATCACCATTAGTTTTAACCAATTTCGAACAACGCAGAAAGCACAGGTTATTGTCCTTTGTATGAAGCGTGGATGCCAGTATAAGCATAAAGTGTGGTCCCTACTACTAGACTAGGCAGGATTTCAAGGATCCTTTCACTTCGCAAGTTCAATCCTCCGTACAGCTGTAGCATATTGATTGCTGGGCGGAGGGGAAGATGAAAGTCATGCACCTTTGGTGGTAAAAGGTTCCAAAGATATAGAAACTAACTTCGAAAGGGTAGAGGCAGCAGATGAGCAATCGGGCTGCGCAAGCTCGAGAGATAGTAGACATACCGGTAGGGGTACAACGAAAGGAGAGGACTGGATGGGGCGTTCCAATTTCCAATGGTGTGGCGAACCATGGGAAATTGAAGGGCGAGAAAGATCTAGCCAGCTAGTAGCAGGACTTCAGCGCTTTAGAATAATACCTTGTACGTCAACCTGCGATGCTAGAATGAACATAGCGGCAGCGGCACTTCCATCGTAGCCACATGTATGTGTAGAGTCAGTACTGTATGCCAACTCATCTTCTTTAGTCGGTGATCATACCTCCACAACCTTGGAAGCGCTACAATTTCATTCGCAGGACCAAACTTTTAAAAAAGGAGAAAGGTGCGCAAGAAAGTACAAGAGTCTGGGACTCCTGGAGATTGGCCGAGGACAAGAAGCAAGCAAGGTAAACAGCACTACTACTAGTACAGTTAAGTTGGACCGAAGGCAAGCGCAGAGATGCTGAAGGCTTTCTTGATCACAACGCACCTCACATTATCATTCAAGCTTCCTTGCAAACTCAAAAGCCATCATTGTATCATTGTAACGGTACCGCTAATTTAGACAAGTGAGCTTCGAGCTTCATGCATCCACATTGCTACCAGTCGGTACAGTACCGTCGTGTATGCCTGACCATGTGGAAGTCAAATACTGTAATGAGGACCACTCCGGTATCCGGAAGGCAGCCGATTAGGCCTTAACCCTACTTCAACTATCGAATCGCTGAAAGTCGTTCCTATTCGCGCTGCGCGAGTTTCCCGCGATTCGCGCTGCTTGAATAGAACGAATTGCGCAACTTTACCGCGACTTCGCGCGACTTAAATCGAAGCGTAAATGCTAGTATTTTTAATTCGCGGAGCGCGACATAGCGCAAGTCGCGAACGACTTTCCAAGTCGCGCAGCGCGACTTAGCGCGAATCGCGAACGACTTAGCGCGAATCGCGGGAGTATCGCATTCATTAGCAATCAACCGGATCTCTGAAATCGCCTGCCTTCCCGGTCAAGTACGGGTACCAAGGCTTATTTAAAAAAATTAAACCTCAACTAGCTCAGACCAAAGCATTAAACTTTGCATTGCCCGTGGCCGTTGACTCTGTCAATTATAAGGGCTTATTTAATCTACGAGTGATTTCCATTATTTTTATTGATTTGTTTTTCTCGTTCAAATTCCCCTTTTGATCCGTTTCCGTGGGATCGACATCGCCAGCTAGTCTAAGCTAGCCAGCTTCATTCATCATCAGGCTTCCTCATCAAGATAACGAAAGGTATCATCTCCTCAGATTCAAGTCCTGTTGCTTGCTCCTATGTTCATGTTCAAACATAGTTTTTGAGCCAGAGATATAAAACATAGACGGAAGACCAATGCGATGTTCACATTTCGGCGACAAGAATGTTCTTCTCCAGAGTTGCACCATGCCAGAACTGATACTTTATCGGAACGACAATCAGCCCCACCGTGCTTTCCTTACAACACCAGACGACCAAAAATAACAAGATGTCAGAAAAGGAGACGAGTGTCGAAGTCTCCAGCGCTCTTCTTGCAAGGCGTGGTTTTCGTGTTGTGTGCACCATCCGTCACCACAACATCATTGAATGTTTCCTCAACGACCAGTCCAGCACCCAGTGTGTCTGGTTTCCTGGTTGATTGGGATGATACGGTGCCCCCTTCTATGACTCCATCAGTCTCAGCGTCAGGCCGCCCGGAATCTGTTGAATCAAAAGTCAACAGTACCCAAGAGATAGCAACTGCAACAGACACACATGGCAATCAATCCGCCACTGATAGAGAGGACTCTGCAGTGTATTTGTCCAACGTGATTATATTAGATACCGATACACCAACGACACCAGCAAACCACGACAATAGCACAACTGAGAGTTCAGCACCCACTTTGACAGAACTCCTCGATGATCTGATCCCCACAAACGTGTCGTCAGCAGCTTCCACAGAATCTGCTCCATCGCAATCGCCATCGCAGCTAGAGCCCGACCCAACCTTCAGCGTACCTTTTAATGGAAGTATAGTACCCTCCATGCTTCTTTCTCCGGCTCCGACCGGCAGTTTTGAACCTACGTCGAACCCCACTTCAACATTTGCCCCATCCAATTCCCCTTCCATCCCCCCTACACTCTTTCCTTCTATATCATCTCAGCCATCCATGAGGCCCACAACAGCACCGTCAATGGCGCCCTCCCACTTACCTTCAGAAATGCCCTCGGTGTCGCCTTCGTATGCAAATAGCATAGAGGATGCGGTCCAATACATACAAAAGTTTCTCTTCGAGGGGAGCTACTTCTTCAATGAAACACAGATCCTTAGCTTTCAGTTCCTGATGGAGAACTATACCACTTTTCTCGACCCTTCATCCAGCAAATTCGTGAACACTACCTGCGTCATTTTGGATCAAAAGCTATCAGTGCCACCCTTGCTGATTTCAAACAGCCCCTCCAACCGCTTCCTTCGATCCCGATACGGAGAAGGACGAGATCCTTGCACGACGACAAACAGCAGTAGGTACCGATATCGACGGCGGACACAGACGCAAGGCACTGGGGTGACCGTCAACACAGTATCCTATAGACTCTCGTACGTTTCGGACGTGGTCAATGTGACCGGGTATCCATCCTTGTTCAAGGCGTTCATGAACTTGAATCTCGATCGAGTCACATTCGATTTGAATATGCTAGGTCTCCCCGTTACCGAAACACAGCCAGTCTCAAGGTTATTCTCCCAGACGCCCATGCCAACAACGTCTTCTGTCCCTTCCATGCCACCTTCGATGATACCGACCGTCTCGCCTGGCCCTTCAATTCCCCCGTCGATGATACCATCGTCTCAACCAACAGAGCGTGAAACCGCTTCTCCGATGCCAAGTAGTTTGCCTAGTACATCACCCACCCCGCTATCCAGGCCGTCAACCCCAGAATCGCAGAACCCAACGATAATAGTGGCTGTTGTGGTGGTGATGGCATTGTGTGCCATGGTTGGACTGTTTTTCTTTTACAGACGAAGGAAGAAATTGATGCAAATGCATCTTCATCAGTCAGCAACCAACAAACGCGTCCAAGCGGTTAGTCATGGCCCACCCGAAGGAAGCTGGAACGCTGCTGTCGGAAAGACAGTCGCATCGAGTACCGTTGGGCACTCGACAGATCCACGGACAGCTTTTAGTCCGGATGGCAAAGGCCCAATGATGGAAGGCTTCCTTTCGCCCAGTGAGAGCTTGGTTTCGAATCAGTCACTATTGTCGACAGGCAACTCCATGGCAGGCGACTCGGGAGACGAGGCTGATACAACCCAGAAACTCATGGATGAATTCGACAAGTTTCGCGACCAAAATTTGGAGAAGATGCGAGCTGAAGTGGAAGGAAACTTGAGCGGGTTCGACGGAATGATGAGCCAGGCTTTGACAAAGGCGCTGATGGATGACGATGAGCCCGAAGTTGAACCAAATGACATCTTGTGGGGTGGTGTCGGTCAGAGTGGTGCCGAGATCGAGGCTAGTGCACTTTGCGACGTAACAGACTGGCTCAAACGCAACGACAGTGCTGCTACCACGGAGAGAAAGCAATCCTTCATGCGAGACATATTATACAAAATGGTGTCAAGCGTCAGACACGGAATTCTGGGCCCCGATGATGCCTCAAGGACAATCCACGAGTGCGCAGGTAAGTGAGGGAATTGCGTTTCATGCCCACTCCAAAGGGCCGTGGCTGAAGATTCGCTTACATATTGCTGTCTCCCGGCATCTCTCAGCATTACTCAGTTTGCAACTTGCGAGTGATTTACCGGCCGACACAATCATTATTCAAGGCATGCGAAAGAATGTGACGGCAAAAAAAATCATCGCTTCTTTTCGTGAATTTGGAGAAATCGACGACGTTGCTGTAGCTTCCAACCAACGGGGATTCGGGCTCGTACGCTTCAAATCCCCGAAATCGGTTGACAGAGCTCTCAAAAAGTGCAAAGTCAGCGAAATCGTGGTTCAGGTGAGTGATGGAGATCACAACGGCATTGCATGCATCACGTTAACAGCTCCCTCAGCTCGTGTCTATCTTCGTATTTCCCTGCACGATCCAGGATGTCGGTGTGACTGTTCGGACAATAAAACCACAGCCAAAGGGCAACGCCCCTACGTTCCCCAGGCCGCTGTCTCGAACGTCTTCATGAATCCCTCAAATGTCGGTTGTATGTTCTGCAGCTTCATTAGTGTGTTATTCACATTGAAAGCTGTCAGGCTAGCTAGTGGCAATAGGCGCTGAGTTTGTAACTGAGATGCCTGCCAATGCCAGCATTGTGTGTACCGGTCTCGTACTGAAAATCTGTTCTGTTTTTAAGAGTCTTGGGTGGAAACATGAAAATAGGTTTATTTATATTGCTGTAAAGCTCCACTATCCAACTCTGATATGAGTCTGCCTGCCTACGTAGTCTATGTTTCTGTTTTTCATTACAATTTGCGTAGAGGTGTCGTGTAGCCATACATGTACTGCTACGCCCTCGTTACTTCAAGAGTGCCTTCAAAGAGTCATTAGGGAACCATCTCGACTTCTTTGAGCTTTCAGCCTCGAAATGATCAATCAAGTCCTCAATATTAATTTCACCTTTCAAGGCTTTTTTCACACCGGCTTTTATTGTCTCCTCATTGTCAATACCAGTACTCAAGGGTTTGAGCCATTGCTGGCCAAAATCTTTCCCCAGAGCCTGAAATGAATCAATCATCGATCTTTCATTGTCGAGTACAATCTTGTCGAGATCTTTGTTGCGAAGAACAACCAATGCTGGCTCCTTTTCCTTGTCATCGCTGCTGGCAAGACCCGCAACAATCTTTAAAGCAGCCGGTCCTGGCCGTTCGTCGCTTTCGAGTCTTGGAGAAACATACCAACCGACAACAGAATTTGACGAGTCGTCGGCGGCCTTGATCAATGCAAGTGCTGTTTCCAATAATGGAAGTGTTGGTGCTCCGTGACATACAGGTACAGCCTCGGAAATCTTCACTTGACCTCCTGAGAAGGAGCCCAACAGCACTCCGTGGACAGCTTCATGTGAGTGCTTGACAGCATGAAGGATCATCGACACGGCAGCCACTGCTGATACCTCTACTGATCGTTCTGTTTCCTTATCCTTAGCCATTTTCAACTCAATACTCTGAATATAATAGCTGTAGTGGGAGGAGGACTGACTGGGACAGGTGGTTGATACCGTACCGGTAGGCTATCGATAGCACAGGTACCTTGAAGATTGCGGGTCGGCTGGTGTTATACTTGCGAGGATACAATGATATTGCTTCGTTCCTCCCGATGGCTGCTGTGATCTCTCGTCTCTTGTCGTCATCGGTCGTCGAGCTACTGTACAGGATTTTAGAAAGCCTACAAGGCTGTGTGGAGACCCGCCTCGGATGCTTTGAAGCTGCTTTGCAAGCCACTCCACGTGATTTTGACATTTTACTTTGTGAAACTAGTTCCTGAATTGTGTGAAACTTAAAAAAGTAAAATTAAAACCGCAGTTGCAAAACATCAGCTAAAAGAACATGTAAACTTGCTAGGATGTACCGGTACCGAACGTTGTGGTTGCAATGTTGGTGGCTACCGGTATCTACTATCTAGACTAGCTAGTAAGAACAACCACAAGGGCATCACAAATCGCAATATTGAAATTGTATCTAAAACGGTACTATTGCCGTGATATTCTAGCTAGAGTGCATGGACACTGATAGCGAGATCCTCAACTACAAAGCTGTCCTTGCGAGCAGATTTCAGCCTGTTCACGCCTTCTTTCCTCCCCGAGAAATATTCGAACTTGGACCTTCCTGTTGAATTTTTCACTCGCTGGCATCTTCATCGCTGTCGCTGCCACCCTCCAGGTTCAACTTGTCCTCGTCGTCGACACCACCACCGCCATCGTCATCATCACTGTCCCAGTCGTACGCACCAGCAAAGTCATCATCATCATCAACGTCTACAGGGCCAGCGCCGGCCGTATTTTCAAGCATCTTCTGTGCAGCCATCTCGTAGAAAGCCTCCTCTTCCGGGTCTGACTCCCATTGATCAAACACTTCATCATAATCAATATCGGCGTTATCCAAACCTGAAACCAATTTCTTCTGTTTGACTGGCTTCTCAGCCGTTCTCTTTTCCCGTTCGTCAAAGAATTTTCGAAAGAATAGACCCTCGTCTCCCATGGTTTGTTGCTCCACGTACTTCTGATCCTTAAAGGGTCGCGAGAAACGAACCACGGCATTGCTGAAGCCATTCTTCTGCTCCTTGACTTTCTTGGGGTTCCTGTACGCAAACTTGTCCAGAAAAGAAGCCATGTTGAAGTCTTGTAACGGGTTGCCGTCGTAAGTGATGCTGCCAGCGGAGCCTGCAAACTTTGATGCCGAAGGATGATAGTGATGGGAAGCAAGTGACAGCTCCCAGGACGACGGTTTGCTGGTGCTAACTTCTTCGCCTGCTGTCCCTCGTGGCGACAGAGCCGATTGAGGATCGCGGATTGTCGGTTGGAGCACCAGCTTGCCTCCGTCTGTGGATGGTTCATCTTCAAAATATGCCTCCATACCTGGATTATGAGAAGCCACATCATTGACAACAAAGATACTGGCGGCCAGAGACGGTGGGTTGCAATGCATCGTAGTGGACAAGAGCCGTTTCGTCATAGCCAAGATTCTCCTTTGATTCTTGTCGTGTTTAAGAGACTTGTAAAGAATGTTGAAGAAGATGGTACTGTGTCTTCCTGCGCTGACCATTCCAGTTCCGGAGAGGGCCGCATACAACGCCCTGTAATAGCGATCGCAGGATGCTTGATGCTCCTTGGATTGCACAGACGCGTTTGAAGATCCTACTGTAACCTGGAACAATAAAGCAAGGGCCTGGGTTGATGCTGTTGGAGGTGCATGATGCACGACGCGATACAACTCATCAATGTGTTCATCAATGACCTTGTCTTTTTCTGACAGGTATGGCTGTGCTCGACTCACCCCCGAAAGCAAAGCAGCGAGGAGTCTGCTCTTCGACCCGGTTTCGCCCCAAGTTTTTTCTTCCTTGTTGCTTCCGATTGCAATCTTGAAAAACTTGAAGTATGTTGTTATCAAATTAGCTGGCAATGAGGCTCTTTCACTGTTTTCACGTGAAGCTTTTTCCAGTTTCATTTGGTTGAGAAATGTGATGCAATTGTATAGTGCGCTCTGTGACAGGTGTGGCCGATGAGCTAGCTGCTGTACTTCACGAGCAATCACTACCTGAGAAAGATAGAAAGGTGAGTGAATAGTTTAGCTGCAACTTCAAGTCAGGGGGGGAGTAACCATACCGTACCTGCATGTTGGGATGTTCCTCCAAAACCGTCTTGAGTTGGTTGTTGGCTGCAGCAGCCAGTTTTTTGTTGGGATCACCCAATTTGTTGACCAGTAAGGAGAGAATCATGGCTTCGCCTTCTGGAACGGATCGAAGTAGGTTGGATGCGGTGCGTAGAGCACTGATTTTGCTGGTTTCTAGACCTTCCTGCAGCGTCTTTGTTAGATAGTTCTTCAGAAACATTTGAAACTTTTCTTTCACCATTTCTTCAAATCTCCACAGCAAAAGCAGCCTCGGCGACAAATTGTTTGGAAGATTGTTTTGGTCACTAATTTGTTTTTGGCCCGATCCTACTAGAAATGGGGGCAACCTTTCGCGGAGCGATTCCAGCTTTCGGTTTGGAGGGAGAAACGTCTTGGCGAACAAATCTTCCAAGGCTTCTGCAGCCAGTTGTGCTACCCTTGAGTTTGGCAGTCCTCCAGCTTGTTGTGTCCCACATGCCATTTGCAACAGACCATCGATTGTGTGAAAGCTATGTACTGGGTTTTGGCTTAGCGACAGGCTCATTGCTGCGATTCGATCCTTCAGGGTTCCTTTTCGGATGGTCGAATCGATCCAGGGCTCTTGCTTATTGTTCCCGCCTTCGACGTACAGCTGGATTTCTCGACGGTAGATGTCATCAGCAACCCTACGAAACGAACTCAATTGTTCCTCGGTTGGAGGTTTCAGCTGTTTACCCGATTCGGGGCCTGGATTGCTGCTTCGTAAAGAGCTTTCGTATTGGAACCAAGTTTCGACATCTTCAGGAAGACTAATCAAGAGGGTATTCTGCTGTTTGTAGCTGCCATCGGTTTGAGACGAAGTACGAGGTTTCTTGCTGCCTTTGCTGCTTTTCACGGTGCCTTCACGGCGCTTGGAGGATCGCTTTTCTCTCATGGTTGCTCGACAAGAAATAATGAAGAACGAAGACGGAAAAAATGAGTGGTCTCGAAGGTTGTCAAGACAGCTTTGAGGAGCGTGCTGACGAAAACCTAGCCGGGAACCCTTTTTCTCGGCAGCTTACGGTATACCAGTACACCGCCTCATTGCACGAGCTCAATACCGGTACGGAAGTCACCTGCCAGCAAATGTTGCTAATTTTCTACTAATGCATACAGAGGCTTGTTGTTGATACCAGATGTAACAGACGCCAAAGCAGAGACGAACTAATTGACGAAGCTTCCGGTGTCTTTTTGTATGTTTATTATATTTTTTTAAAGTTTGAGAACTGTAACTAGTACAGAGCTTCGATCAGGTGTCGCTGTTGCTCATTAAATTTTGAAAACCCAGGCAATCGTCTTACACCGATGCTGATTGTGGTAGCATACTCTTCACCTTGGCTTCGAACTTATTAGCAAATGTTGAAAGCATAGTTAACGCAAGCTGGCCAACTTCGCTGCTCTCCCCGTTGTAAAGGATGGAGTTTTCAAAAACCAAACAACAATCTTTCTGAAATGATTGCAAATCACTGTACGCCTGGTCTTCCAGCTTTGTTTTCACCAGCTCGAGATGCATCGGTGTCTTGACAACATCAAAGTAATCTGGCAATCCCAATGCGACCGGGTCCACAGGATCTCGAAACACCCAACCGAATGGGTCGTCGATCAAGTCTTGCAACAGTGGCAGACACTCTTTTGTGACATCTTCAGACGACATATCGGTCGGCTTTTCGATCGCTTCCAACCGCTTCTCAATTGATTCTCGTGACAAAGCGGACCCTCCACCACCGTCGCCTTCAAAGGGAGTGTCGAGAACCAGCTGCTTCTTGGCTTCGTGATCTTCGATGTGCACATTGATGCCACCATTTTTGGCTTCTAATGGTCCCCCAATATCTGAATCGCCACTCAAGGCGTCGTTAGGAGGATTTGGCTTCTCTTCGTCTTCGTTTTTCAATTGGGGTTCTAGCTTGATCATCTTCCTCGCCGGTTCGGGCATTGAGGGGCTCAACGGGCCGTCGCCCTTGCTTGATGACGACAGGCGCCTCTTTGGCTGCTGATCTGCAACAGATAGATCGTCATCAAGTGGCTTGGAACTAGGTTTCCCGCCCAGCGAGAGGTCTTTGTCTGACTGACGATGGTTTTTCTCCCCTTTGCCTCCTCGCATTCCTTTCCCTTTGGACGAACGACGGGCGGCTGAACCCCTCTTCGATCCGGAGAGATCCTTGGAACTGCTCGCGGACAAAGTTGGAGCTCCCGGAACAGGACCACCGAGACCGGCATTGCTTAGTGGATCTTCCCCTGGCGTCGGGCCCTGGTTGTTGTTGTTTGCGTTTGCCTTCTGCTTGGCTGTGTTGATCGCATTCGATTGAAGCGCAAGCTCCTGCTGTAGCAAGACCTGTTGCTGTTGGCAGCGCTGCTGAAGTTGCTGCAATAGTGCCTGTTGTTGCTGCAACTGCTGCCCCTGTTGCGTGTGAGGGTCCTTGATGTGGCTCTGTTGTTCCTGAAGGTGCCTTTGTTGTTGCAACAATTGCTCTTGTTGTCGCTGCAATTGTTTCAATACTTGCAACTGATTCTGCAATTTCATTTGAGCTACATGGAGCTGCTGCAGCTGTTGTTGGTCGCCCTCTGATTGTGGTTGAGAAGGATTGTTGTTGCCGGCATCGTTGCTGTTAATGGGGTTGATACTCGTGGTCGACGAGGAAGAAACGAGACCATCCAACACCGGCATCTCCTGATCCTTTGTGAGGGGATCCACGGCGGATGCGTCTTCTCCCGTCTCCTGTCGTTTAATTTGTTCCATGACGGGTCCACAAACCTCGCAGCTGGAAGTTCTTCCTTGACTTTTGCAAATTCGGTAGTGGTTTAGAACACATCGACTGCTCAGACAGTGCGAAGTCGAACAATTCTTGTCCCTGCATTTCTTCATATGCTTCCACAACGTAACCATTTGGGCACAGAACTTCGTCTTGCAGGTAGGACCTGCTGTGCATTTACTGGCATGACGCAGCAACAAAAGGCGCTGCTGCTGCTGTCTGATAACTTTTTTCTTCTGCTGAGCAATGGGGTCTTGATACTTGGATGAATCCCCACCCGCCAACCCAGAGTTGCCACCTGCTCCGTTACCATTACTGCCGCCGCCGCCACTACCACCGCCAGAGATCGGGTCGCCGCCAGGAAAAATTGACGACGCTAGCCCTCCTATGCCCTGGTTTTGACCGGTGCCTAGTTGATCGTCTCCGCCGCCACCGCCTATCATGTTGCCCTGCTGGGCAGCATTTTGCCGCATTTGGTTAGGTCCCGCGTTTCCTCCAACCATGCCGTTTCCTGCCATTTGTCGCAGAAGCTGCTTCTGTTGATTTTGTTGCTGAGACATCGAATCGTTCTGCATTCCCGAACTCACGCTGCCACCGCTGGAGGTGGATCTATGAAGCTCTAAGCCGTGGGCTATCATTTGTAGTCTCTTCTTGAGTGTTGACAAATCTAGATATTCTTCTTTCGTCTGTGCTGAACGGTAAAGATGTTCCTCAAGGCTCTTGGCCATGTGAGGTAACCTTCACAGGGTGAAAAAGGAATTCGTTTAGGGGAGACAAGGCAAAAACTGAATTGGACAATACTGAGCAACTCACTTTTGAGAAATCTTGTTCGTATCGGGTCTCATTTGCTTGATGACTTCCAATATGCTAAAGATAATGTGTCGTCGATCAGGGAGATCCGCGTTCGACTGCCAACCACCAGCAAAGTTTCCATCCAAGAAAGACTTCTGAGAGGCCGCATTAGCACTGTCTTGATTACCTCCTCCACGAGCGGTTGGTCCGCTACCGAGATTACCCAACATGCCTTGACCGCCTCCAATTCCAGCCGCGTCGCCTTGCGACTGATTCTGCTGAAGATTTGGGAAGTTCATTCCAAGATTTTGAGCCATATTGCCGCCATTGGGGGCACCGCTTCCCCCCATGTTGAGCAAGTTGTCCTGCTGACCCTGCTGTTGGTTTTGTTGCTGACTCTGCTGCTGCTGTCGGAGCTGCTGCATCAACAGTTCCTGCTCGCTCATATTACCATTGTTATTGAACATGTTAGTGTTGTTCCCTCCCATTCCAAACGACTGGGAGAGACGCTGCTGCATGGCATTGGCATTCTGATTTGGAAACTGGTTCGGCATGCCTCCAAGCTCACCGCGATTGCTCTGTGCATTTCCAGCGCCCGCAACTGGTGCCATCCAGTTGGCATTGGATCCTGCTTGGTTTTGCATGCCGGCATTCCGTTGGTGTACACTTGCATGAGAAGTGTCTCGTTGTAGTTGAGATTTGGAGACATCCCGCTGCAACTGGGCCGTCGATCCACTACCATGCATTTGAGCCTGTGACGGATGTCTCTGTAGGCCAGCACCGGAAGCGTCTCTGTGAAGTCCGCCCCCACCGGGTTTGTCTTGGCTCTGCTGCTGTGCAGAGGATCCTCCAGCCATCTGCTGCAGACGCGCGAGTGCACTTTGGCGTTGTCCCAATTGCTGTGCAGCAGCTGAGTTACCTTGCTGGGACATTTGCTGGTGGAGACTAGCCGAGCTCCCTCTTTGGGACTGCTGCGCGAGCAAATTCGCATTGCTTCCTCTTTGCGCCATTTGTCTCTGCTGCTGAGCCATTTGCTGTTGCATAGTGGAATTGGTACTCCCTCGATGTTGCTGCATGTGTTGCTGTAACTGAGCCCCAGTGGCACTACCGCGCTGCTGCTGAATCTGCTGTAGACTCGTGGTGCTTCCTCTCTGTCTCATTTGCTGGAGTAGCTGTTGCTGGCCTTGTAGGAGACTACTGGCGGCCTCCGACCCGCGATGCGAAGCTGCATCCATTCCTCCACCTTGCGGTTGGTGGTTGTCCTGCTGCCCTTGGAATTGCCTTTGTAGTTTGGCAAGTTGTTGCTGAAGTAGCATTTGTGCGCTGGCGTTACCACCATTTGGATTCCCCATTCCAGCTTGTTGGTTACCTCCTCCCATCATGGATTGCTGTTGTTGGTTGAGTCCCATTCCATGAAGACTGTTTCCTCCCATTCCTGGGATCTGCTGGTTCTGTTGTTGGTTTTGTTGCTGCTGGAGGAAGACTTGTATGTTGGAAGTGGCCATCATGTCATTCTTTCCTGCGGCATTTCCACCCATATTCTGAGCTACATTTCCACCCATGTTTCCGCCTATACCCATTCCTACAAAGGCAGCCAGCTGTGCGCTACTTGCGGAACTAGCGTCAACTGCGGAAGACATTCCAGCAGCTTGATTGCCTTGCATTCCTCCGCCGCCGCCTCCTCCTCCTCCTCCGTTGAAGTTGAACATGTTGTTTCCGCCCATTCCTCCGAACTGCTGTTGCTGCTGTTGTTGCTGCTGCTGCATCATGGCCAGTGCGGCATTGTTGTTCAGAGAGTTGCCTTGATCACCGAGACCTTGTTGCCACTGCTGTTGGTTCTGGTTGGGTGCTCCAAACTGAGCCTGCTGCATTGCCGCAGCTTGCTGCGGATCGGTCAAGGCTGATGCGATCCCAGGGAAGCCCATTAACCCTTGATTGCCGCCATGGTTTTGCTGTTGGTTCTGCTGCTGTCGACCGTATTGAGCCTGCAGCTGTTCCTGAAGGTGCTGCATCTGTCTTGTTATTGCTCTTCTATTGGCACTACTATGGTACTACTAGTCTATCACTCTTCGTTCGGGGTCAAACCTCGGGTAGAAATGTTGCACCGGCTCTAACTGGCTAGGTCACGTCAACGTCCACCGGCCCTACTACGAAGCAATTGATACTGCTACAGCTCCAATCTCCAAAGGACAACAAGAAGACTCAAAGACGAGCGATGGTCTGTCCTCTTCTGAAAAATAACGGAGGACCTCAACAAAAGGTCAAAACCGGAAAGACTTTGTGATGTTACGATCACCAGAGGCAGGCCCAGCGCAGCAACTCTTTGGTGGTGAATTGAATGGTGCTTCTACTCGATGAGATGACCCAAACCGAGTGCGATTCAGAGCTGTTCTGCGGCCGCCTTCGATTCTCTTGGACCTTTTCCGTATCATAGGATTTACAGTAGAAACCAGTACTAAGCTACGATCAAAAATGAAATTCAAGGTGATTATGTAGTTGCGAGGTGCGAGGCAGACGTTCCCTTGACACGCCGACTTCCCTCGCTGTAAAAGCCAGCAGCTGGGGCCTTACACCCACATCAAAGCAATCACTCTTTGCTGAATCTTCAGGTCCGAGACCAAAAGAAACAAACTATTAATACTTGCCAATATCAATCATTCAAGTACCGGTACTTGTAGATGATTCATCTATCTCGTCTCGCAACGATCTACGTAAGTATATTTGCTTGATGTGTGTTTTTGACAGGAGATACACAGTCCAGATTCAGGATAAGACTTGGCCAATACCGGTAGGCAGTCTCTATACATTCTGTGCAAATGGCAACCTATTTCTAATGAGTGACAGTCATATCTGCTGAATCACTGAAGTATTCCAGGCTAAATCCAACAATGGCATCCGTCTGATATCGATCGATTCCAGCATCAGGCGGACATATGTTTCAGAAAGTAGTTTTGCGGGCAACCAACAGAGGCTTCGAGGGAATCCACTCAGTTGTTGTGAAATCCTCAAGTTCTTTGGCATTACCAACTGCACCACCAAGGCTGTTCATGGAAACTGAAGCCAGTTCAATGTTGTTCGGGCAACCTTCAAAGCCCTCATGACCCATGAATCCATTGAGGAGGTAGCCCGAAAGCGGGGACGTCGCATTGTCAGTATTGATAGAGGCCGTAGGTTGCAGTTGTAATTATTACAGTACGTATTATTCAGTCTCAAGTCTTTATTTTTATAATATCAGAACTCCTTTCTTGCCCTTCTTGGCAAGCTTGCGCCTGGAGTTTAGACTGTGTATCAAGATGTGGGACTTTCAATACCGTACTAGCTAGCTAGCTAGTACCATGTAGCGCAGACCTATGATAAGCTTCGCTTGCTTGCCAAGTTAGACGTCAATACATGTAATTGGACCCAATTGGGACCAGACGTGCTCACAGCGAAATCTCTTAGCTCTGGTGGCTAAAACATCAGAAACCAATCACCTCCACCTGGAATGTCATACTAGTAGGGAAACTTCCCCTCGACTGTCTCATTTTTTGCTTTCCAAATTGCTTGAAGCCACCACCATGAACTTGAAGACTTCAACAACTCCCTGGCTCTTTGCGTTGCTATGCGTATCCCAACTCTTCCAACAGTGCTATTCAATTTTCAGCCCAAGAAAACATTCAGCGTCCATACCGATCTGGAGAAGCATACCTCGTGGCGGAGGCGAAGATGAAACAGATACTAGTACGCCTTCCAATCAGGATGACGAGAGATACAGTCGGCAATTCTACACTCTGGGGGCAAGAGCCCAAAACTTGGTGCGGAGTTCCACAGTTTACATTGATGGGCCACCAACTTCAGGTCTCGTCTATGAATGTGTCAAAAACTTGGCCTTGTCAGGAGTTGGCGGCATTGAAATATGGACATCGAACGATCCAGAACATGATCAAGGATACCATGATGAGTCACTGGATGATCTTGGCAAAGCATACTGCCGGGCGGCATCAAAAGAATTGGATCTACAACAAAGCACTGACGAATCAAACGAGTCCATTCTGGGGAGATATATTCGATGCCTAAACCCTACGGTCTCGGTTTCGCATAGCCAAAGACCAAATGACTCTGAAGAAGCCGTTCATGATGGTCCTGGAGTGCTTTTGTGTATGGATCGATCTTATGAAACCCAGGTCCGCTTGAATGAAATTGCGCGACAACGAAACCTCGCTTTTGTAGCTGTGGAAACAGCAGGGGTGTATGGTCGAGTCTTTTGTGACTTTGGACCCGACTTTGTCGTCCATGACATGGACGGCGAAACCCCGCTTGTCACTCCCTTGGAAACTGTCAAAGTGCAAGGCGGGGAGCTTCTGGTTAGAGCTATGGAGACAGAGCGTCACGATGTTTCAAGTGGGGACATTGTTCAGTTTCAAATGAGTGATGGAAGCATCGTGCCTCAACAATTCACGGTTGTCAAGGTCTTGTCACCACAACAAATCATTGTCAAGCTAGTCCGTGACACTGACGAAAACAAATCGCATGACTTGGAAGAAGTCCAGAAAGTGATTGATGCAAAGGCGGCGTCCTTCTCGCGTATCAAAATCCCCGTGAAGTTGTCGTTCTCGCCATTGCAGGAAGTCACGGCAAAAGCTAGGGAGTGTGTCAAAATGCAGGAAACAGCGGCGAAGGACAAGAAAAAGCAGGACGGACAATATTATCTGGGCAACCTCTTCTCACCTTGTGACTTTGATAAGAGTTCAGACGTAAAAAGACTGAAGTCTGTCTTGTCTTGTTTTCAAGCGCTGTCTGCCTTTTCAGACACTCACCAAAGCTTACCCACATTAACGGACGTGCTGGAGTTTCAACAGCTGGCAACAGAGTCACTAGGTGCCCAGATGTTGGAAACCAAACATGTTCAAAACTTTTTGGGTACTTGTGCCGGCAAGTTAGGTCCCCTGCAGGCCATGTTTGGGGCCCTTGGTGCGCAGGAAGTCTTGAAGAGCGTCACGGGCTTGTACAATCCAGTTCAGCAGATTCTTCTCTATGATTGTGACGAGCTCCTGTCAGAGGAGAATGACGCAAACCGCACCCCTTCTTCAAAATCTGGACTTTCTTACATCCTTGGTAGAAAGTTGGAGGAGAAAGTAAAGTCAACACGGCTTTTCGTTGTCGGTGCTGGTGCAATAGGCTGTGAGTTGTTGAAAAACCTGGCGGCAATTGGTGCCGCAACAGGGAAGAATGGATGCATTTCGCTAACAGATATGGATACCATTGAAAAGTCTAATTTGAGTCGCCAGCTACTCTTTCGAGAATCAAATATTGGAGACTTCAAGAGCGTCGCTGCGCGAGCTGCAATCCTCCGCTTCAATCCTGCCACACAGATCTTCACCCACACCAGCAAAGTAGGTGAAGAGAGTGATGGTCCATTTGGGGAAGAGTTTTGGTCTTCAAATGCTGACATGGTTCTGAATGCGCTTGATAACATGGAAGCGCGACTTTTCATGGATCAAAAATGTGTAGTACACCAAAAGGCCATGGTTGACGCTGGGACGTTGGGCCCAAAGGGGAATGTTCAAGTCGTGGTGCCTCACCAAAGTGAATCGTACGGCTCTAGTGTAGATCCACCAGAATCCGAGATTCCAGTTTGCACTTTGAAGAACTTTCCTTACGCCATTGCGCACACAATTCAATGGGGAAGGGACCTGTTCGATGGTCTCTACAACCGTCGGCCAAAGCAAACGAACGATTTTTCCGAGAAAGCTCTGTCCGATAGTGTAAGCCATTTCGCGGAATCTTTGATACGTGACAGCGGAGAAGAGGCCGCCATCGAAGCTGCCACTGAACTCGCCCAGGACTTGTTGTTCGCATCGACATCGCCGCAATCTCGAGGCGAGGTGCGAGAGAATGCCATACGATGGGCCGTTCATTTAGCAACTCAGTTGTTCCATGACGCAATCGAGGATCTATTGAATGAACATCCAGTGGATAGCCTGGACGATGACGACGAACGTTTCTGGAGCGGTACGCGGAAAGTGCCAACTCCAATCCGTTTCCACGAGTCAACAGACGACGCTAGCAAACTTGCAGCCAATGAAAACCTGCTGAGTTTTGTCAAGTCTGCGGCTCGACTACGGGTCGAATCATTCTACGGTGTCAATGATGATAATGATGATGATGCAAATCAATTTACAGACGAGGATGCTAAGAATGCCCTTCGGGATGCCGTCGGAAAAGAAAGAGACAACGACGACAACGACTCCACGACCGAAGAAAATATTTTGCGGAAAGTACAGCCGTTTGCTTCAGGGGAGAAGAGCACGCTCCACTCGGTCGACTTTGAAAAGGATGATAACGACAATGGGCATGTCGACTTTGTAACCGCTGCCAGCAATCTGAGAGCGATCTGTTATGGAATTCCCCCGGTGGATGCAATGGAAACGCGACGAGTTGCTGGCAAGATCATACCTGCCATGATCACAACGACTGCCGTAGTGTCGGCTCTGTCCACCCTAGAAATGCTCAAACTCCTTCAGGGTGCTCCATTGACCCAGTATCGCAATGCATTTATCAACCTTGCCATTCCACTCTTGGCCTTTACAGTCCCTTTGCCTGCAGAGGAGGTGCCTGGGCCGGGAGGAACGAAGTTCACCGTTTGGGACAGCATTGTCGTCAAGGAAAAGACGCATCCATCGAACAGCGATGGCGGAATGACGCTAAAGCGGTTCATTAGGCAACTGAGAAAGGCACTTGGTGGAACCCACAGTGGTTTTGAAATATCGTCTGTGACTATGGGAGAACTGTTGATATATGCCAACTTTCTGCATGGGGAGGACGAGACGATTCTGAGCCAATCAGTTTGGGATTTGGCAAACGCAGCGCTGAGCGAGGAAGGAGGCACCCCAGCAAGTGACACCAGGCTAGAGCTTCGTGTCACCGTTGAAGACACAACCAACGGCGAAGACTACGAACTGCCTCTTGTGCGGCTACACAAGGAGGAGCTTGAGCAAAAATAGCATTACGAACCTGACTAGCTAGCTGCCAGACATATTAAAAAGTTTTCGAGGTCCCTCGATTGTCCGAGTTCTGCGGCCACACCATGAAGCTCGCGAGAAATTTGAGGAAGAGAACCACGTTCACGTACGGCCAGATCAAGAAACGGCAACGAAATCGAGTGGTACAGCCCCGCCCCAATAATACCACGAATATCCCGAGCCGTGAGAGTCATCAAGAGGCAAGCTGCAGTAAAAATAAGTAGATGACACTGAGAATATATACTATTCGACGGTACGAAACTAGACTACCAAAATTCCCTGTTTGCTGAAAGCAGCAGCAGACATGTTGTCGTTTGTCAAAGACACTGTCGACTACAAGTCAGACAACGGGGAATTCAACACTACTTGCCATCCTTTTTACTTTGGCCCAGCGTTCACCGACATGCACCTACGTTGGGACGACAGCAGCTATCGCTGCAACACCATTCTTGTAACACGGGTGTTAGGTAGGGGATTGACGGTCTTCGTTCCGGTTTATGAAAAGGCCTTGGAGAACCGGCGGTACGCACGTCTTTTGCAGCAACATGGAGAAGTAAGTCCAGACATTTTGGAGCAAGATTTGGGGCTACCGGTACAGCATGAGTATTTGCTAGCATGGACTGTTGAGGCTTGGAAACCCGGTGGGGCCCTCCGAGTGATGCATGCCGAGGGTGGTGAAATCTGGAAGCGATATCAAAAGGGTGGAGACCTCTACGAACAGACCCAGCAGCGACATCAGGAGGGTGGAGACCTCTACGAACGATATCACGCGGGTGGAGACCTCTACGAACGATATCAAAAGGGTGGAGATCTCTACGAACGATACCACGAGGGTGGAGACCGCTACGAACAGATCCAGCAGATGATGACTGAAGCTTGGAACCCAGGAGGACACTTTCGAGAGATGTATTCCGAGGGTGGTACTCATTCGAAGGGACGCCGGAAGGGTAGCGATTCAGCGTCCGAGTTGGTACAGGAGTATGCGAAGCACCAATGGATCAAAAGGGAGGCACCCAACGGAGTCTGTCTCAAGGACAACCAGCTGTGGTGTCATTGTTGCGTATGGCATTGAATTGCCATCAAGAGGCAGGAGTGACCAGAAGTACGCTCAAACAACATGTGAACTCTGGTACCCACAAGAAGTATGCTGCCGCCGGAGGCAAGAAACAGTTTTATATCAACAAATTCAAGGTGTGGCGCAAGAAGAACCAAGGATGGACACATTCTTCACAATGGAATTATGCGCGCTGTGACTATTGCCAGCAAGAGATCAAGATGATACAGACACGCCCGGATCATACGCGTTCGTTCCTCAAGGAACGACAACCCACACATTTGGATCTAGTTGCAAAGGATCAGATAAAAAGGGAAGGAAACCAAACCAGGGGACTCCAGATCGCCTACGGTACAGCTTTATGGCTCGATTGAACTACTCACACAGTTACATAATAATCATAATAGATGCATTTACAAGCATAGGGCTACTCGATTACTTCACCTTTTTGACTTCTTGTCTCACGAAAACTTGTTCTCGCCGCCGCCGCCGCCATTCAATTTCTTGTTCTCTTTGGCTGCCAATTTCTCCAACTCGTGCTCATAGCGAAGATAGCGTCCGTTGTAAGTGGCAAAGAACACTGTGGCAGCAGCGTGTAGGAGAATGAGCAAGTAGAACGAAAAGGTGTACTCTGGTTGCTCCGCAGAGTCTTCGGCATCACTCTTTGAAATACCAATATCCTTCAAGGATTTGAAGAACGGAATGAACAGGGCACTCAGCAAGTTGGAGAAAAGCTGCTGGATCACCAAAACAGTGTTTTCGCTCAAGGGGTAGGCGACTTCAACTCCAAGCTCTGTCGAAACGGGTTGCAGCGGTCCAACCAAAGCAGCAACAATCAGAAGGGAGTAGCGCAAATCGCTGCCCCTATCCGCATCAAGGCTCACACCACAGAATGCCAATCCAAAGGCACCAAAGACCAGCATTGCAATGATGACAGAGTAGTATGCACGGGTCTTGTCGGTCTGCTTTCCAATGACGAGGCTGGAAATCATGATGATACCTTGGAAGGAACCACCAATGATACCAACGTATTCTCTGCCAGCGCCATCCAAGGTCACCAGATAGTCCATGAAAGTAGACAAGGTGTTGATGACAATACCAGAGACTGTGAATGAAACCAGACACTGGAGAAACCCGGGTCGGGCAAGGCAAGCTCGTGTACTTTGAATGACCTGGTCATCTCGAATCAAAATGTCCAAATGGTGATCAGAAACCGTGACCACAGGCTCTGCCCCTTCATCGAGGTTGTATCCATACCCTGCTGGGCCCTGCAGAAGTGGGTGTGGTGGTGGTGGAGGGTAAACACCAGGGTAAGGGGGGTTCTGGTAACCAGGGTATGGTGGTGGAGGGTAAACACCAGGGTAAGGGGGATTCTGGTAGTAAGGCTGTTGGTAGTAAGGATAAGCGGGCATGCCGGGAACAGCATAGGGATGCTGGTAGCCGGGATGAGGCATGAAACCTTCTGGGTACATTGGGAATCCCCCAGGTGGGCCACCTCCTTGCAATGCATCACCAGGCAACGCCCCAGGATCACCCAGCAACGGCATTCTGGTATTCTCTTGGTCAGTAGGGCCTGGTTCCATTGGTGAAGGAGCCGAAGCTTGGGGCACGAGAGAAAGGGGTGGGGTCCTTCCATTGAGTGCAGGCGACGGAGCAGGGGCCACCGCAGTTGACATGGGAGGAGCATTGCCCCGGAATCCCCTAACGGATTGCATAATGGACCCGACGTTAGGTACTGTAATGTCACCCTTCATCACCTTGGCACTGCTTGAGGGAGGAGTGGGTGGAGCGTCGTCGAACTGGAAGAGGGTTCCAAAGAATGCAAGAGTCGAAATGATACTGAGGAGACCAAAATACGCAGGAATATCATCACTCGTGGCAACAAGAAGCGTTCCGAAAACAAATGCACATCCGATTCCCAGCTGGTTGGCATTCAAGGCAACACCTGTGGCCATGGTTCGTTCATGCTCAGGGAACCAAGAAGCCGACAACAATGCTGGAGTGCACTGGTAGAGCGGCTGCGAGAGCCCAACCAAGAAGAACCCAAAGCTCAAGCGCCACTCGTCTTCACCTCGGACGAGTTCGGCCTGGATGATGGGAGGGATTCCCCCGCTCTTGATCATGCTTCCAATCATGAGCAACAACGAACCAAAAAGGACAGTTTTCTTCAAACCTAGGCGGGCAAGAATGATAGGTTCACATGCTGTCGAGATAGCGTTGGCTCCCAGAAAGATAACAACCAAACGTTCCGGATCAACGTCACCGAAGGTTTGCTGGGTGAGGATAGCAATGGGGGCAACAGAGTAACATGTCCAGTCAGAGAGAAGGTTGAGCATGGACATGTAAAAGAGCATGATCCAGCGTTGCCAGTAAACTTTGAAGTCATCGTCCTCATCCACGTCATCTCCATCAGAGTCGCTAGAGCCATTACCCTTTTCACGGCTTATCATGGGAGCTCCATTGGCACCTTGGATCTCGTTGGAGTTCTGTCCTCCAGGAAGTTGCGCATAGGGATCCCCGCCATTGCCGCCAGCAGGAGGTCCATTTCCACGAGTACCAGAACCGCCGCCACTGCCCCCTCCTTGTGAGGGAAAGGTATTGTAGGACCCTCCGTGCCCGTCCGTTGCAAGCTGATGCATAAAGGGAGTGTCTTCAGTTTCGTCATCGCTGTAGACGAAAGGAAGAGTCCCATCGCTCTTATATTTGAGGCTATTGAATTGATTCAATTGCTGCTGATGGATCTGGGCAGCCATCATCATTTGGTGTTGCATGTCAATGGGCCCATATGGATTCATTTCAGGGTGGCCTTGGTAGTATCCCATGACATTGTAGGCTGGAGCCTCAGGTTGCCTGCGACCAGCAGAATCCTTGGGTGAAGCGACCACAGTGGAGTGTTCTGCGTTGACACTGCTGTTGGAACTGTCCCTGGAGAGGGTGCTCTCAGGGGATAAGACCCCAGCTTTGGGATGGCTGTTACTTCCGTCCGAGCTTACCAAAGAACTGACGGAATGAACGCGAGTGATCCTCTGCAACTGCATATCGGCCACTTGGCTGGGTAGCCGAGCAACGGGTTCGATGGGTTCCGACAGAGGAAGTTCATCGTCGCTTTCGTCCGAAAAGGACAAACTGGCGTCACTGGCACGGTTCTTGGTGGCTGCAGCAGTTGTACTAGTAGGCATAAAAGGCGTAGTCCGTGCAGGCGCCGAGCCAGAACTGGAGTAGGAGAATCGTCTTCCACTCTTGGGACTTGGCAAGTGCTTGGCGAAATAAGAGGATTCTCCGTCGGAAGAGTCCGCCTGGGAGCTGTCTTCGTCATTGTCAACGGTATCATTGCTGTTAGCAGTCGATGGATCAGACACAGGAGATCCTTGAAGCCACTCGCTGTCAGAAGCAGTGGGAGTAGGAGAGCCCTCAACAGACTTGGCGGCATCAGGCGTCACCACTGGTTTGTTTTCCATCGCACTGGCGGCAGAGCCAGATTCTTTGGCCGACACGATGGGTTGACAGACAGCCATGGTGGTACTTCCGCTTGTGGTAGTTGTTGCTGCTGCTGTTGTCTCTTCCAATTTGCCCGATGAACTATTGAGGTCGCCTTGGCCAATAGGGGTCGAAGGCGAATATGGAACGGTATGCATTGCCTTTCCAACCAACACAACAATACGGATAGCCAGGACGAAATTGCCTCTGTCCTCTTTGAGGGTTTTGGATCAATCGGGGTGCTCCTTGAGATGAAACGGAAGAAACTTGATTGCTTCACGGTCCGTTACGGTGCTCCATCATTTTTCTGGCCGTTCCAGTCCTGTCAAGACTGATTTGTGCGCCGACCAGCGTGTGAGTATGTGCGCAACGGCGCGTGCTTGTCCGTTGGCAAAGTCAAATGTTTAAGCCAGCTAAAATGTAACCGATCTACAAATACTTCATTCCTCCCTTTATATTAAGATGTCTCTAAGTTCAGCTGAACCCTGAAGCCATCTTAGCAAGCACTCAAATATCTGTACTAACTTTTAAAAAGAATCTTCTTAGCATTTTGTTTAAATTCAGGGTGCAAAGGCAACATCTTACCTTTCTTGCCATTTCTATTGATCATACTAGTAGTATGGTACATACCAACATTTCTGCTCTGCTTCCCACCTTATTAAACATTCCCTTACGTGAAGAGAGGAAAGAGCAGTGTATCATCTGCCGGAGGCAAATTTTTTGACTTTTGGCACCTGTTTTCAAGGCATTTTGTTGTAGAAAACTGTCATTGTATCATCTGTCAATCTCTTATGTGCCCAAGGGAGAGTGCTTGCTGGGTATCTTAGCTCTAGTGCAGATCTGAGTGTCTCAAATATCTTTAAAACATTCCAGCAAATCTCAGTACTTGACATCTTATCTCGGACTCTCTTAATATCAAGGGAGGAGTGTATTTATAATGCGTTTGGTAGATCTATTTAGGGGAAGCTCATCTGAAGCGAACGGTGCTCCGAGACTTAACAAATAGTTTCTTCTAAATCTGATCGAGGCCGTTTGCTCTTGGAAGCATATTTCGAACCCCACAACGAAGACACAAGACAAACCCCAATCGATGCATGGCATAATCGATCTTGGAGGTATCACGGTCTGTATCACTATTGTCAGACGCAACCATGTATAGTCAAAGACTTAAGCTAGCACGGAAAAGACGTGAAGAACAGAAGGTTTTTGAAGCCTTGGAATCGAAGCATAAAAGGGAGGAGAGACGAGAGCGAAACAAGGAGAATGACAGAGGCGCCAGAGACCGCAAGCGCAAGGCCACAGAAAAGGGTACTTCCGGCGATGTAACGACGAAGAAATCCAGCCATAAATCTAAACGAAGTGAAGAAGAATCGTCTCAAGAGGACTCGTCTGACGAAGACACAGAGCTTCCAAAGGGAAAACGACAGCGCAGACCCGCGCCAAAGAATTCTGGGCGCACGTCTTCCTACCGGGCAGACAGAGGTGGTTCCAAGTCTCGTTCAAAGAGCCAAAAATCCCGCAACAATTCACGAGAAACAAGCGAAGAATCAAGCAGTGAAGATAGTGATTCAGACGAGGAGTCCTCGTCGAAAATGCGTCGGAAGAGAGACCACCGTAGATCCAACAAGAGTCGGAAGTCAAGCTGGTCAGATGAGGAGCAGTCTACTAGTAGAAAGGGCTGGAAGAGAGCCAGCCATAAATCCAGCAAAAGAAAAAAATCAAGTCGGGAATTGGACAGTGATGAGGATGATGATGATTCCGATCTGGGAGCTTCAAAGAAATCTGACAGCCAACAATCTCAGAACAATCGAAGAGCAATCCGGAAAGCATTGGATAGCGATGATACATGTAGCGATGGTGGTTCAGGCAAGGAGCCCGCGAAAAGCCGTTCAAAGAAACGTGACAGCCATCGATCCCACGGTAGTCAAAGGGCAATAAAGGGGGAATACAGCACTGATGATAATTCTGATCAGTGGCTTTCGAAACGTCATTCCAAGAAATCTGACAGCCAAGGATCCCACGACAGACGCATAGCAAATCGGAATGCACTTGATAGCGATAGTGATGATGATTCAGGTCAAAGGGCCTCAAAACGCCATTCGATCCGACCAAAGAAGTACGACGGCCAAGGATCCCGCAACAGTCGAAGGGCCGGAAAAAGGTCAGAGAACGGTGACTCAAGTTCGGATGGCGCAAAGCGACATTCAAAGCATACAAAGCATACTTACAGCCAACAATCACAAAGTAGTCGACTAGCCAGTCGGGAAGCATTGGATAGTGACTTTGATGATCATTCCGATCGGGGGCCCTCGACAGGTCATTTGAAGAAAACTGACAGCCAACAATCCCACCAAAGTTGGAAAGGAAAGCGGGAATTGGACCATGACGACGATTCGAATCGAAAATCAATCTACCAGAACTCTCAGCGGGCTCGAAAATCCAACAAAGAGACCGACAGCGAAGACTCTAGTGAAGAACGTTCGCAACCTCGTCCGAGGCGCGGCAAAGCGATGGCGAAGTCCTGCAGCAGCCGATCAAAGCCTGTGAGCACAAAAAATCAACCGTACGAATCCCCAGATTCTGACGATACTGATTTCGACCCTCAAGATCGATCTAATCGCAATCGTCGCTTGGGCTCTGCCAAGAACGAATCTTCTCCCCAGGCAAAAGTCAAGAAAGCGCACGACAAGGACAAGGACAAGGACAAGGAAATGAACTCTGACGAAGAAAGCTCGGTGCAGAGCGTTTCGTCGAGAGATGAATCAAAACAGACGAAGAAGCCCAAACACGAAAAGAGTGCAAGCGCTCGTACTGTCTTCCCTCTGGACTCTGACTCCGATGAGAGAAAGTCGGGTGACCAAGCATCGGCTGGGAAGCATCGACGCGCAGTCAAAAAGGTCATGGCGAACGACTTGTCAGATGAATCCGGGGATGAGCAGCGTGCAGTTTCCAAGCTTGATAAGAAAAAGGCACCGGCGAACCCTCTTCAGGCTGTTGAGCGAGAGCGAGAGAACGTTTCCCAAATGCAGCATCGAGGACGTAACTTCGTCGGCGGTGGCGATTTGTGGGATGATGACGATGACAATGGAAACTCACAAATTGATCGTCGTCCCATCACAGCTCCGGCTGCTCACAGCACTGAATCTCGAGCTTCCATATCTGGTCGCCCCCGCGCAGCAAAAGCGGATGTCGGGGAAATGGAAAACGTTGGCTCAGGCAAAAACGGGGCGTCAAGCAGCCCTTGCAAGAACGACGATGTTGTTGCTGACCAACACAAAGCGAAGGGTCGCATCGAAGAGCACGAACAGTACCCTACGCTAGGCAATCCTTATTTTGGCCCGTTCGATAACGTGCCACTCAAGTTGGTGAACAAACAGGACGCCAGAAGCGACCACAAAGTGCCGGCAGCCCTCGCTAGATACTTGCCTCCGTTTCAGAGAGAGGGGATTCAATTCCTGTACAATGCTGTGGTCAATAATTACGGCGCAATTCTCGGTATGGTATTCCGTTCTGAACGTTTTATGCTTGGGTGTCATACGCCTAACCACGTTCCCTTTGCCTGCCTCACGGATCAGGAGATGACATGGGCCTTGGTATGTGAAATGATCGTGTTTTGCTTTCTTTCTCCTTTATGCCACGTTTTCTCACCTTGATTCATGCTTCTACTTTGCACAGGGAAAACGATGCAGATCATAGCATTGATATCGGCGCTGTTGGGAAAGACTGGAACCACGATGGACGAGGATATTTTGAAGGAGAGGAAAGCGAAACGGAAGGAAGTGGAAAAGGAGCTCGGGAACTGGGAAAACAGTGCCCTGTTGGGTCAGTGTGGATTCGAAGGCAGGAACAAGCGTCTCGCAGAATACAAGGAGAAATTGGGTCTCCCTGAAATCGTGCCCATTTTGTTGATAGTCCCAGCTGTCGTTGTAGACAACTGGGATGGCGAGATAATGCAGTTTTCCAAAATTGAAGTCGAAAAAGTGAGTTGACTGTTGCAGAAGATATTTGAGTATCAAAGTGGAGTAGTCAACTCTAATCTTTGGAGTTTTTCGTGGCTCAAATAGTTCCGGGAATCGGACACCCGAGAGGAGGCTTTGAAAGGAATTGAGTTGGGATCGGCTGAGGTTCTGTTATGCGGGCACCCTCTTTTCGGCGCGAAGAAGCATTTTGAGGAAATCCTCAAATTTCCATGGAACCTGGTAGTAGTCGACGAGTTTCATCTTTTCAAGAACGGAAAGAGCAACAATGCAAAGAATCTTAGAATTCTTGCAAAGAGACACAATTGCCCGATTATTGGTCTGACTGGTACCCCAATGCCCAATTGTGAGTATCATTACATGCCAAAGGGAAGGATGCTTGCTGCAATTTCTTATGCTTCTTCTTCGTCTTGATGTGAAAACAGGCTTCGGTAAGTTCCAGACAGCTCGTTTTGTGATCGTGCCGGTGTTGACCTGATCCTTCGAGCTGTGATTATACCGCGTTGGATAGACGAGTAAGTTGCTGTTGTTTTCGTGAGCGGCGAGCACTTCGAGTCGTTCGGCTGTCGCTGATTTCCCTTCATTTGCGATCTTTCCTCTTTTGCAGGCTGCACAATGTAAGTGTTTCGTCGTGTTGATATGGTAATATGGGCGCGTCGACTCTAACTCGCACGGAAACTTCTCACTTCATCGTGCAGCTTGTAGACTTGGTGCAGCCCAAAGTTCTAGGCACTCTCAAGCAATTCAATAACAGGATTGGCAAACCAATGAAGAAGGCCAGGTCCGTGTTGTCGACGGATTGGTTTGGTTGCACCAACAATAACGTATCTCACTAGCATGTTTTTGTTGTTCTTGTACGGTATAAACAGAGCTGTTGACGCAACACAGGATGTCAAAGCCCAGGGAGAGGACAAGCGATTGGAGCTGAACAAAAAATTGCAGCCGTTGTATATTGCGCGGAAGAAGCAAGACGTGTTGTCTCAGCTGCCAAAGAAGACAGAGCACGTTGGTAAGAACTGTCTTTTCCCAGTTTTGTTGGTTGGCTGGCTGTTTTGTCCCTCACTGAAGCTCTTTGTCTTTTGATCCAGTCTTGTGCGAGCTATCAGAACTGCAGAAGAAGGTAGGACTTCTTTATTTGCTGTAGGGAGCACTTGCTATTATGGGTTTGCTCACCGTTCATCTCTCCCTTGATACCTTCATCTCAGACGTACGAGCACATCCGTAACTTGCCCGACTTCGTACTTGTACGCGGCAGTTCTGCGCCATGTGATTGTGGCGTCAATATCAATTATTTTGAACGATATTTACGACTTCAAACGCCAGAGGACAAGATTGCGTTCCAAAAGGAAAACGAGTTTATCAAGAGGGGAAAGTGCCACTACAGGGAGCCGCAAGAAGAAGACAAAGGGATGTCAGTGATGTGGCGCAAACAGCACCCCGATGGCACGCAATGCAAGCGGTGTCCTTCGTGTGTTTTGCTGCCATGCCTCAGCAAGCTGTATCAACTAAGCTCGCATTTGACGCTGCTTCAGTACGAAAAGCCAGGGAACAAGGCGGCGGTAGATTCTGAGCACGAGGAAGATTTAAATAGGGAGTTTGCAAAAATCTCATTCCCTGACGATGTCCTGCCAGAGCTCCCAGGCGCGAGCTACGAAAGATGCGACCAACTTTTGCAAGGCGTCCAGCATTTTGCCATGTCCGGGAAGATGAAAAAGTTGCACTCGTTGCTTCAAGACATCCATCACGAAAAGGGCCGGGTGCTCATTTTCTCCTATTCAGTGCGCATGCTTGACATCATTGCTCGCTACTTGGACAATGAAGCCAAAAGGTTTCTTCGCATCGATGGAAAGACGCCAGGAAAAGACCGTCAAGGTCAGTCACGCCACCCTTTCGAGGTTCAAATCGTCGCCGCGTTCATTTCCTTCTTGGACCTTTTCTCACCCACCGTATACACGTATGTGTTGTATGTCATGTACAGGGTTGGTGAAGCAGTTTCAGACTGATTCAAAATACTTTTGCTTTCTGTTGAGTACTCGTGCAGCTGGCGTTGGGCTAAATCTCACTGCCGCGAACAATGTCATGTAAGTCGATCTACAATGGGCACTTTGGTTCATCATTGTATGAGGGTGGCATCCTCACTTTTTCTCTTCTAACTAATAAAGCATTTTTGATGCCGAGTGGAACCCAGCGCACGATGAGCAGGTGCGTGTCAATTCATTGATATCCATGTTTTTGTCAGGACTTCATTGGACCGGTTGACTCACATTCGACCGACTTCTTCTCCACATCATCGGCAGGCTCAAGATCGCGCATATCGTATTGGCCAATCGAAAGATGTGACGGTTTACCGACTAGTGGCTCAGGGAACTATCGAAGAGCTAAAGTACCTGCGTCAGGTGAGTGAAAGAAATTGCATGGCGTGTCATGCTCATCACAACGGTGTCATAATGGCAGCCAGCATGCCGCTGCCGCTCACAGGTCGCTTTATCTTGCTCGGATGGCCCTACATGTCATTGTGTAGATTTACAAGTTGCACTTGAGACAAGAAACCTTTCGCTCGGCAGAGGGATCAGAAGCTGCACCACGATCCTTTCTGGGCGTTGACAAGGACACCAAGAGAAAAGGAGAGTTGTTCGGCGCCGAGAATCTGTTGAGCTTCTCGAAGGACAGCTCCTTCCTCTCTCGAGTTTGGAAAACCGACAAAGGCATTGTTGCTGGAACTAGCACAGCAATTGCCAATGCTTGGGAAAAAGGAGAGGCGATGATGCAGGAAGAGACGGAGCAGTTGATTCGTAGTCAGTTGGAAGGTGCAGCAAAAGCTGCAAAGAAGGCGGCCTTCGACCACAAGGCGTTCTTTGACCAAGGTCGAGCCCGTCCGGCCAACCGGGAAGGCCAGATGGGTGGCGGTGAGTTGACTCTCTGCATGAGGACTGTTTCTTGTGTATCATAGTGTAAAAGGGTATGCTCACATGTCCATTTTCCCTTCATCTTGCAGAAACACAGGCAGTAGATGATTTCGTTGAGAGGGGCCAACCCAAACAGGTACCGGTACCCAATGACAGTGATTCCGACGACAGCGACGCTGACAACCATTTTGATGCTTCCGACGCCCGCAACAATGAAAACACTAGTGCATTAGGACCTGACAATGTGACCAAAGTGGCGAGCTGTGGTACTACTGTCCAAGGTGCTAGCGGGTCTCCACCTTCTGACCGAGAACTCATAGAGACGAAAACCAAGGTCAAGCCCCAGGTGACCAAGTCCTTTCAGCAGGCCAATGCCAAGAGCGGTCGTGTTTCAAATGCGGACAAACCCAAGAGCGACGAGGGCACCAATCCTCTTGGCAGAGTTGGCATCCCAGATCCACACAACGACCTGCGCAACAATAATCCGGTCAACAATCAAGAACGGCAACGGCTTCTCCAGTCCATGAACAAAAAGAAAAACTTCTTGTTGTGCGGCATTCCATCGCAGCAAGTTTCAGGAAGGCACACGACATTCTCCAAAGCCAATGTATTCCAGCCCAACAGCTCCAATTGAAAGGAAGCCTAGCTCTTGTGGTTTGTCCTTGGCCAAGTTAGCTACAGCTAGCACCAAAGGGATCTCGTTTCTAGGGTAGATCTTAAAGGAGATGGAAGCAACCTCTGCTACTAGTAGTACTCACACTTACTAGTCATAGCTCGCACCGACCCTGCCTCGTTTACGCCATTAGTTTTTTGAGTTGTGTATTCACCAACTTTTTCTTGTCATCCCCAGAGAGTGAGTCCCATTGGTCCTTCCCAACGATCATTTTGGCTTTCATCATGGCCTTTATATAGAACTGCTGGCTTGCCTTTGTGTCCGTCGCATCCTCGCTTTCTTCCTCTGCTGCGTCGTCATCATCCTCTTCTTCTTCATCGGAGTCATCCTCTAGAACCGAGTGAGCTTCTCTGACTTTCCGGAACTTGATGGCACAATAGAGCCTGCTAATTTCCCATTCTTCGCTTGAAATCGACCCCTCTTTGTTCAAAACTTTCATGTTGTAAAGAGCACGGTGGGCTGCGGGATTCTCTTGAGGGTCCATTCGACCCAAGTAGAATTCGTGAAAGTTCAGCCCGTACTCCATTTCTAGTCCCGCTTCTTCTGCTAGTGATTTCAGAACTGGGATAGGCGTCAGCCACTCAGGCAGATCGACTGCCTCACCGACACCAGATGCATGATCAGACCCTTCTTTCAGCGTGAAGGTGTATTCCAGGCCAAAGATATCCTCGTGCAAAGGGTCTTCTTTTTTTGCAGCCATTGACTGGAAGATTCTTTTAACAATATCGGGTTTGAAACGAATCCGGCAGGCTCCTCCGCCAGCGGTGACAACAATTTCCCTATCAGGATCTTCTTCTTCTGAGTCCGAGTCGAAGCGAAGGTCCTCTCCCAAGCCCATGAGGCGTTCAATGACGATTCTTGCATCGATGGTTGTCGCGATGAGGTTTCCGCCAATTTCTAGTAGTTCACTGACGGTACGGAAGAATCTGCGAGCTCTTTTTCTCGTGCTCATCATGTAGTGGATTGCAAATTGTATCGAGACGACGTCAAACTTTTCCGTCAAGGACACGCCCCCACCCCGCACTGGTTTGAACTCAGGCGTTCCGGTCTCGTGTGGAGATTCGTCCTGAAGGGACCATGACAAGAGGGGCTGCATGTGTTTTCGTTTGTGTGATTTGAGCCTTCCGGGTACATCGGCTCCCAAGTCCGCTACGGTGAATGTTGCATTATTGTCTAGTTTGTTGCGGATTCCTCTGGCACGAATTGCGGCATCTTTGAGGGACCCTCTGGCAACGTCCAGCCCCACGTATCGACTCATTTTTCGCGAATGAATGGTCCATTTTCCTAAATCTCCTCCCTTTCCACATGCCAAATCGAGCACTCGCATGGGTGGATTTCCCGAGACTCCCTTTCGTTTTCGCCCACCTTGCGTTTGTGGATTGAGTTCCTGAATTTGCGTTGCCTTGACCCATCCATTGAAAGATCGCATGTGGTAAAGTCGACTTTCGGATCTAGTGTCTAATGTTCTGGTCAATCCCGAGTAGAATTTATCAGCGGTTGCCGCGCCTGTATCCTTGTGGAAGATGGAACTTTCCATGTCTTCGGCAGATCTCTTTTTGTCTGGATGTGTAGTGTTTGCGTCGTCGTCTGCATCATTGTTGGATGGATTCCACGCGGGTTGTTCTTTGTCTGCATTGTTATTGGTAGTGAAATCTGAAGCTGAAGTTGCTCCAAAATCTGGCTGATCTCCCGCCGACGGGGGCATCCAAAGACCCGCCGAATCGTCTGCGGCTCCCCCTCCACCTGGCGGTTGCCATAGATTGTCGTTGTTGTTGTTGTCATCTGTACTTCCCGGTGGTTGCCACATTTCTGTCTCATCAGCAGCAGCAGCATCAGCGCTCGCCTTGTCATTTCCCTGTACCATTCCCTTGGCATTTTCTGTATCTCCCACGAAGCATTCGGCCGCAAACTTTTCGTCTTCGTCGTCTTGCATTGGCCGTAGCAGTCCAAAACGTCCGTATTTGTCCTTGCTCAGTACGGCCACGACATCGGTTCTTCGCAATTTGGTGACGAATTTGGCAAAGTTTGTGGAATTGGCCTTGTCTCTGTCGGGTAGACTGGGTTGGAAGCGTTTGACTGCAATGGTGCATTGCTGCATGGCTCCGCGAGAAGGATGCAGCAATTTCTCCACCATTGGATTCGAAGTCTCCAAAAATCCAATCACAGTCAAGCTGCGACACATGGGACCAGGGAACTTCGGACCGTCGGGATAGGAGTAAACGGTGGCTCTCTTGCTCAGTTTCTGAGGATCGATCGGTCGCTCCAAAGAGCTAAACAGCGAGCCATCGCCCAGTTCGTCTTCGGATAGCACCAGAAAATCGTGCTTTATAGCGGGCGACTCCACTGGATACGGCATCTTATTCGGATCCAAATAAACGAAGCCAAGCCAAGTCAAACACCACTTCGACGACACCCTCTATTACTGTAAATTACCCTACCGTACTGTAGGTATTCGAGGAGTACCACCCGGTACAGTACGAAGCTGCGAGAAGGAATGAAGCAACGGCACGATGAATGATGTGAGGGGCAGCCTCCATGGTCCATGGCATGGTGGCTTTTGGAGGAAGGTCTTTCCCGCGGGATATGTTTATCTTTAGCTCTAACCGACAAGGGCTGTTTGTTATTCTTCAACGGCTGAAAGTGCCTTGAAAGCAACGCAACGAACAACGAACACAAGTTGACTGCCCCATGCCCATGATCGACTGTGATCAGACAGTGAATCTTCCAAGTTCGCCTGGCACTGTTGGTCTCTCTCTCTGCTCTCTAGCTAGCAAGTGTCTCAAAAGAAGACAAACACCTCCAACACCATGTCGTTGATTGGGGCTGTGTTAGTGCTGCCTTATATGGTGGTTTTCTTCACCTTCTGGTTGGCCACCAGTCTTCAACGTCCCATGATGTATGCCACTATCTTTTGCTTGGCCATCAACCCAATGGCGGCTCAACGGAAACTTACTCTCTTTGTCAACACGGCACGATACCTTCTCTTTTCCAAGGACAAAAAATGGAAGGAGCCAGAAGTACCCAAGTATACCACTGTCCACAAAGTAGAGACCAAAACTATCATCTTTGTCAGGCATGGCCAAAGGTATGTGGGTTATTACTTGCTGTACTTACTTCTTCTGTGGGGTAGTCTCCTGTCTGTTACGACGACAAGGAAGAAATTCAATTCTTGAATCTAATCTGTATCTTCTCTCATATTTCTTGTGATTATCGTTCAGCACGTGGAATGAAACATTCAATAGGTATGTTTCCGATTCAGTTTCCTGACGAATCGTAGGTAAAAGACTCGATTCCTATTCACCCACTCATTACAATTCTTCCGAATGAATCTTCTCTCTGAAGGGGCGAAAAGACCAAACTCAACTTCTACATGTTTTTCATACCAAATGCCATTAAAGCGTTCTTCATGGAATGGTACTTTATGGTCACTGGACAGGACAAAGAGAGCTGGTTCTACGACTCACCACTCAATGACATGGGCAAGTCACAGGCAGAATCTGTTCGGAAATTCATGCGCACTAATCTACAATTCAGTACACCCAAAGAGGCGAGACTCATACGAATCATGCTCGGAGAATCGCCCGATGGAAAGGGACCACCTACCAGAGAGCCTTCTTCACAACTTGTGTCCTCAAATCTCAGAAGAGCCATCTCCACACTTGTCATTGGGGCCAGAGAGCGGCTAGATCGGGGATACGAAAACGACAAGGTTATCATTCTCTCACAGATGCAAGAAGTCAGCTTTAATCCGGATGCACTCTGTATCACACCAGCCAAGGGAAAATGCGAGCTGGCATTTACAGATCCGAAATTCCTCAAACCATACTTTGACAACAATCTGGACACATCCTTGCACACGGGCAACAAACCTATCACTTCCAACGGCATCATTCGACTACAGAGTTTTGCCGAAACAATCTTCAAGGATATCAAGAAGGAAAATATTGTTGCTGCAGGACATTCTCTTTGGTTTAGAAGCTTTTTCCGCACATTTCTGCCTAAGGATTACGATCATGTTTCCAAGGTCAAAAAGATCCGAAACGGGGGATGCGTTGGCCTTGAATTCCAGAAGAAAACAACCGACAATGGGGTTGTCTACGAGATCGTACCAGGAAGCATAGTGGTACTTCACATTGGATTTTGAAGCAACAAATGTTTGACAAATAACAGACAACCCATCGGAACGAAAGGATCTTCGCAACCTTGTTCCGTTTCTCTCGTCTTCTTCTTGTGGTGTAATGTACTTGTACAAAGCAAAGCGATAACATACTCTATTGACTCATGTTGGATTCCGTAGCTCACTAATTTTCCGCACTTTAGTTAGGCCATGCCTTTGCCCACAATGCTGCTGTCTTTTAGGTAGATCAATAAGTTCGTTTCCACCACGAGGCGGCACATCATGATTTCCGCTCTCAAATGTTTGATGTCTTGGCCAACTTGGATAAAATTGTTACCAGCCAGCTCTACCGTATGAATAGCAGGGCGACCACCGCTGCCGTCGTGTGATTTACGGGCGGATGACGATTTCCTTTGGACCTACAATCGTAGACTAAATATTTGCAAAAGGAACGTGGCTTGAGATAGCACAGGACCTATCAGACGGAAGTAATTCTAATCACCAGCAATGCTTTCTACAGGTTACTTATATGGTTCAATGTGAACTCATAGACTGAGAGATGCAGGAAAAAGCGATATGTGAGCGGCATGCTGCCATAATGAAAGCGTTGTGACGGGCGTGACACGCAATTTTTTGGACTTGCCTGGGAAAATCGTCCCGTTGACCGGGAATGCCCGAAACACGGTAATTCCCAACCCTCTAAAAAGTACTCTCCAGCCATATTTGGCAGCAAGGTACCGCCCAGAACCAATGAAGGAGACTGGAGAGTCGAGTGGCGCGGTTTGAATGTGGGTTTTTATCACATCGACTAAACGCGATAGGGGAAAAGCAAAAGTGAGGGAAATGCTACCATTGTGACGGATTTGCCGCGCAATTTCGTTCGTTCACTCACCGGGGTAGACAACGGCCCAAGTAATGCACCCACTGACACCTCCCGCAAAGGCAGATGCCATCCAGGCATGAGATTCTTGAGGATTGTCGTCAACATCGCCATACCTCGCGGCAATCATTGAGTTCACACTGTCCTTGACATAATCATAACTGCTAAAGTACAATCCAAAGGCTGGGACTTCGCGTAGACATGTTGTACACCAACCCCGAAAGAGGCCGGGTATGCCGTGACTGCGAATGATGGATCTAGTGACATCCATTGGACCTTTGTAAATGTTGTCGGCTGCTCCTTTGCCATGTTGGACTTGCAATCGGCATTTGATGTGTTCCATTGGACAGATCACTCCACACTGTACAAAGCCAGCGAAACTTCCACAAAGAAAAGACTTGAAAATGGAATCACCATCGCTGTATCCATCGTCGTTGTTGCCATCTAGATAATCGGTGGTCTCGGTTGAAGCAGATTTCCCAGAGGGTATATATTGATCGTATAGTCTAGAGCTTGCGCCATAACTGGAAAAAATCAGAGCATTTACCACGGCAGCAGCAGAGAGTGGTGCCCCCATTCCGCGAAAGAGACTTCCCACACCACCAAAGGAAGATGCAACTGATGCAAGAGATGTTTGCGGGGGAGCCGTCTGGAGACGAACCTTTGCAGAAAAAAAAAATCGGAAAATGAGAAAAGACAACAGAGATATTCACATGCGGCAGTCATTCCATTGGCAGCATATACTATACCTTGATTGTATCAAAGGGATGACCCACAACCACAGAGGCAGATCCAGCGACACCACCAGCAATGAAGTCCTGCAAAGCCGTAACGTCATCGCCTTGGTCGCTTGGTGTTGAACTGCTGCCCAAGTCTTCATCGTATTTTGATTGTCCCATTAGAGTAGTATTCTTTCAGGTGAGGTAGCTAGCTACTAGCTAGTGGATGGAGGAAGGACAAGGACAAGTTTTCGCAGAGAATCAAATGTAACTTCTTGGGATTGTAAAGAGGTTTGCATTTTGTTGTTGTTGGTGGGAGAGGCATCATGTTGGCTCGTTTTCGGAAGTGATTGATCGAACAGGATACTGACATCAACACTCATCAACTAACGGTTGGATCTCAGCATTGGCTACACGTGGAACCATGGCCTGGACCTCTATGTCATACGGTATAATATATACAGTATGCTACGGGTACTGTGCAATACGGTACAGAATATGTATCTTCATACGCCACCTTACTACCGGGACGGTACATCGTACTAGCTAGCTAGAGGCATTGGAGCCACAGAGATATGTGATCAGGAGCTCCGGTAGATTCGATTCCGAACCGGTAGGGTATCGTACCGTTTGGCCTGGCAACAAAAGAACACAGGATTCACAAAGGATATCTCGAGATGACAGGTCTAGACCAAAGCATGACAAAGAACATTGCTTGATAGAATGAGTCAGAGTCTGGAAAGCAGTGGCTTGAGCAAATCTCTGTATGTCTCCCACAAGGATCCGATGGCCTCCAACATTTGTCTCTTCCTTCTGCAACGGCTTCAGGGACCACCTTGATCGTACGAAACTTTGGCTGCATCTTGGGACGCTCCAATGCAATCAGCTGCAATACATGTAGTTCCAGCAATACTAGCTATCAAAAAGTACTCCAGTAGTCCATGCCCATTTCCTGTGCTCGTTTCCGGCGGGTTCTCGGAGCTGTTCTCGGTGGATGGTTGATGTGCACGAGGACCTTGATGCTTGATGTCGATGCCGGCCAACAGCTTTAGAGGATGCGGGACTGGTAAACCTGCACTGAAATCAGATACTAGTACCGTAAAAGTACTGGTACATGTAATAAGCGATCATTTATTACCTTTTTACTCCCGTTCTAGATCTATTAATTTTAACAGTTGCATCATTTCGTGTCCGCTGAGAGCCCCTGAAACGCACGCGGTTGTATTATACGTATAACATTTTCACTATGTATTCTACAGATCATACGTATTACACATATAACATTTTTAATATGTATTAGACAAGTCATACGTACAACACAGATAACACAAGTGGAACAATATTATACGTTATTACATGTATTATGTGTTGTACGTGTTTTACGTATAATACATAGTGACGAATTTTTGCTAAGTTTTTTTGCCAGGTGTTTTGCAGGTGTTTGGGAGGCAGAGAGGAAGATGCACTGTTGCAGGCCATAATACCTGACAAGCTTATCAAGTAAAATGGACTCTTACCTATCTGAACTCTCCCATGTTGCTAGATACAATATCAATGAATGAAGAATGGACTCCTGCTCCAATCATTGTGAATGTAGCAACCTCACTAACTGATGATACACCAAAGGAGATAAACATTATGGATACTCTGGGGTTCGATAATTATCGAATGGAGAAATCGACGGTGTATTGGCTACCTTCGATGCATCAATCTTGTGATTCGGCGCATATTAAAGAAGTTTTGATGCCATACTTTGTACTTTCTTGCAAGACTGCTGGATTCCGTACCAAAAACAAGGGATTCGATAAGAGGCGGAATCACATTACCATATGTTGTCCAAGGAGTCGTTTTTACAAACAAAGGTCCCAAAAGGAGAGCAACAAAACCACCCAGACTCAGCTTCCTGTTGAGGGGGAGGGTGTCAAATGTCCATTCTCTTTCAATGTTCTATATAGCCAGGAACACAGACGATGGTATCTACCCAAGTTCCAGACAGACAACAAGCTTCATCGTGGCCATGTACAACTGGAAGAGGCACAAGTGAAAGTGTTAAGTACTCATCTTGGCACAGAAGCCGTTACACTAGCGGAACAATGCGATGAGATCCAGTCAGGGTAGATGCACAAAGAGCTGGCTGGGAGTGGAGAGCTCTGCTTGGAGCCTCACTCCTCTGACAGTGGGAATGGGCCAGCCACAAAGCTGGCTGCCGCTGTTATTCAATCTCCACAGCAATGATTGAACAACTCACTCTTTGCCTTGGCACAATCCACACAGGAAGGCTTCAACTGTGGGGAAACTAGTGCTACTGAGGCTGTATCTGGTCAACTATCCTTTCATTACTTCTTCTTCTTTAAACTATGCTAAAATCAACTGAACACAAAATCCTCGACAGCACTCAGCCATGCAGCTTTGGCTCTCTTGCATCTCATTTGGCTGGTGCTGGCAAGCTAACTTTCTATATTGGTCTTGGCTGAAGAACTGCATCATCCTTGGGTATATAGAGTTCCTCAGCTATTTCTGTATTGCCAGATGGCTGCACTGCTGACCCTACTGTTGGAGTATACAGATGTCACAGCGATTCTTCCACCTGGCTAAACCAGCACAGCTGCTTCGCACCACAATGGGAGTTCACGTGGATTTCCACTCATCGAATGCCTAAAGAACCATCTCTCGCCAAGTGTTGTTAAGACTTTACTTTATGAACGGACAGGCTCATCTCTAACTTCAAAACAAATCGAATCTCTATGGAAGAGTCTGCATCAAGGAGTGGTCTTGTCTTTGGTGAAGCCAGACGGTACCATCTCTCAAGTATCACATCAGGAGGCGACAGCAGCAGATAGGCTACTTGCCATATTGCAATCCGATCCAACAAAATCGTTCGTTGTTCTTTTTGCCTCATTTGACACCTCCCACCAATCCATCTTCGCCTGGAGCTCTAGCATGATTGTACATGCTTGGACCAAGCTTTCGGACTTTGAAGGAGTTAGCTTTTGAGGCATTACTCTGTGCAACACCGGGCTCAAAGCATTCGTGACAAAATGCCGACAGTCCAGGATGGTAGATAGGATGCTGGGTGATAGATCCATCTTCGTTTCGGCGCTTCGCGGTCATCGGAATGGCTTGTTGAATACATGAAACAAAGTTCCGGGGAGTGATATCTTCAGGGAAGAAGGGACCAGGATTGTCAGGGCCAAAGGGAATCTCCTTCTCAGATTCCTCAGCCTTCGTCTCTTCTGCATCATTCTCATTTGCCCCGTGACCGTCTTGCGGACCAGATTCATCGTCAGAATCCACCATGATGCCTAAACGAAAATACTAAACAAGAAAACAAAAATAGGTGAGACAACGAACACGGGTAATACGTATAATATAGGTGATACGTATAATACGGGTGATATGTATAATACATGTTACACCTGTTACACGTATAACACGGGTGATACATATAATACACGTTACATGCATAACACGTGTTACATGCATAACACGTGTTACACGCGTAACATGCATAACACGTGTTGCGCGCTAACTGAGGTACTTACATGGGTTCAGTACTGGTCCCTACAGAAAGTGGTTGACAATGGAAAGTGGTTGACAATGGTAGAATTCAAGGCCAGATCTTCCACAGGCTTTGTCAGTGAGCCTTCAGAAGTATATGAATGCAAAGAAAATGGTCCTGAAGGCTGTACAGGGCCTGAGGAAGAGAGTGGAGGCAGAAAAATGGAGAATGAGTTGAATGAAGAGAAATCATTCTATCTTTCCACAGGAACAGTCTTCTTGGCTTCAACAAAGCCATACCACATTGCCTACTTACCCACAATGATGGTGCTATCTTCAAATAACAAGAGAAACCTTTGTATCCTTCAAACAAACAAGAGAAGAGAGGTTGTTGTCATGGTGGATGGTGGTTCTTTGTGGTGGAGATATTCAAGTCATTTTGCGAAACTCGAACGGTCACGGTGGCTGGCTGGCGTGCGTGTTATACGTGTTATACATGTTATACGTATTCTACACGTAAGATGTGTTAGACCTGTTATACGAGTGATACAAGTTATACGAGTGATACGAGTGATACGAGTTATACGTATAACATCGCGTGCGTTTCAGGGTCTCTCATTACAGTAAAATAAATACACACTGGAACCTTATCCCTCCCTGAGCAGTATTCATTCGCGATTTTCCTTAAAGATTTAACGAAGGAAGCTTCTTTTGACAGGTTTGTGCTAAATCCCGTAAAAGGCAGACACCCCACCATGGTGGGAGTCTTTTTCTTTTTCTTGGGCCATGGCGATCGATGTCACTCTCGATGCATGGATGGGTATCCTGTGCATATTGCATGCAGGAGTGCCGGATTTGTCGATCGCCTTCTGTCGCTGAGCTGATTGCCTTTCTGGTCGCATTATTCATGTAATAGCAGAGCAACCACCAGCAGAGCCTTCTTGTATTGCTGTCTACCGGTATCAACTCGCAGTTGTTTGGCAAACCAATCGTACCGGTAATATCTTCCATCTAGAGCTAGCTAGCTACTTATTCGAGACAACAGCATCAACCATGCGCCGCCCACCAAGCCGCACGACGAGCAAGGAAAGTACAGTTGTGGATGTCGATGAGGTGGCCGAGGACTATCAGCTAGATGATGATGATGATGACGATGATGATGATGGCCTCCCTCCGCCTCTCAAGCGGATGACAGTGGACACCGTTCCAGAGTCAGACGGTGGTTCCTTTGCTGTCCGAAACTCGGGTCGCGTTGACGGGTCCAATGGTGTCGTCAATGAGGATGACGAGGATATCGTCCCTCCACTATTTTCGATGAAGGGCGTCAATGGCACTAAAGATATCAAGACTGTGGATGTGGAGATGGATGTCTCCGGAATAGACGTGGATGGCATGATGAGCGACGCAGAATCTGGAGCCTTGGTCGAAAAAGCTCTCAACGCGGACGAGACTGCCTTGTTGAGTCCTACTTCGACTGCTGGTACGGAGGAACCGCCCAAAGAGAAACGAATCTCAGAGGATCGAAAAGTCAAGAATCACGAGCGTCGCAGTCTCTTGAACGATGATTGCGAAGGAGATGAAAGCACCGACTATTTTGAAGAGCTTGGTTATCAGGGCAGATCATCCGACTTCAGCAAAGAAATGCAACGAGCTGCTAACAGGTATTCGGGTGATATGGACGAGTCCCATTATCGCCTCAAGCAACGCTTGTCGATGATGGAAAGGATGCAATCCAAGTTCCTTAACCAGGATGAATCCAAGGAAAAACTATTGCCACAGGATACGTTCAGTTTCATCATTATTGCGGAAACCTGCACCATTCCCTTCATCATTTCGTTGACCATTTTCGTACTACAATTGACAATATTCATATTGGTGCTGCTCGACTTGGCGGCACAAGGAGAACCAGGAAACATTTTTGGTGTCCCTGCCAACGTCAGTGGCCAGCTGCGGGCCACACAATTCATTGCCGTCCTGGTCGCTGTCTTGACACAGGGAGACTTAAGAGTCGCATTGACCCTTGCGCGTGATGGCTTTACAAAAGAGTTTCATGCGGCCTTTCGCCACACAGCGGAGTGGAAATTTCGACTGGCCGTTGTAACCCGTGCGGCGTCGGGAACCATTGGGCTCGTTGTCGTCTTTGTGCTCATTATCACGTCATCCAGTGTGGTGGGACTGCTGCTCGATTTTACTGGTGAGTTCGATTCGGCTGGTCTCGGTGTTCATATCCGGCGATGATACAGGGCAGTCTTCTCACGGTTATCTGTTGCTTTTGGCCGTCTCTAGCCGTCGAATTTGTTTCGAGTATTGACGAGCTGTGTTTCTTCCTGGCAAAGCAAGGTTTTTTAGGCACTGGATGCAAGCACTACTCTGCTATTGTTGCTTGTGACTTGTACAAGGTGGCTCCAGAGTCGCGTCAAGGGTTCCTTCGCAAGTCATGGAAGACTGTTTCGTTGTTCTTAATTCTCAGTGTCTTTTTGGCTGGCTGGATCTCTATCGTCATCTTTCAACTGGATGGGCATTACATGTGCAACACGATCATGGTTAACATGGGCGACGACTTTGTGCCAGCGCTAGGTGCGTTCAATGGGCTATACGACATTAAGTTTCCCAAGGGATATGTCCCCTTCAAGGAGCGCCGTGCTATCTTTGTTGAAAGGCGATCGCAAGAAGTCAATGTCCCGGGTAGGGGAATATTCGGCTACTGTGATGACATCAAAGCTTGGACGTTTCGGTGGGAGTTCACAGATGGAACCGAAAACGTGGAAACCGATTTCTGCGAATGGGTTGCTAGATCCTCTGAAACGGATACTTTTGACATCACTGAAACGGTGAGCCAACCCTGGCTTGTCCGCGATCAAACCCAACGAGAAGTGGTGCTGGATCCTTTCCGTTTGTTCTGCTTTGACTGTGAAAACGAGGGCGAGGATGACAGTGATGATTGTGGTGGGAAAGGTACTTGCAATAGTGCTGTATGTGAATGTCAGGATGGGTGGTATGGGCTTCGATGCGAATTTTTAAGCCCCTGCTCTGAGCTTGCCATTGATGCCCGAACTGAGGATTTTGCCAGCACCAGGGACTGGTCGTCCGATTACCAGTCAATCGAATTGAACAGTGGCTCTCTTGCAGAGGCATACTATCGCCCAGTGTATGTTCACGAATACAGCAATGGTGCTTACGATGTTGTGATGTTCACCGGGAGGCGTTGGGCCTTGACGTCTTCAGAGTTTCTCCCTCGCAAGGGAAGGGTAGCCGACGACAGTGTGTCCGGTGGGCAAGGAACTGGATCTGATATTGCGAACTTCTTCAAGTATTACTATCATGGTTACCGCGGCTATTTTGATGGCGACTATTCGGTTGCCTTCCTCAGTGACTTCATGGACACGACAACGCATTTTGATGCCAGCACTCCAGTTGCCTTCAGCTGGTATCGGGCTGTATCTGAGGAGAGGACACACGCTTTGGAAAACCAGGGGCTTGGCCAGGAGGTGGAATCGGAGTTTCTCTGTAGCGGCTGCGACATCGAATCAAACCCCTGTCTTTATGACGGAGAATGCATTGCGGGTGTGTGTCAATGCTCCCTGGATTCCTTTGGGGAGCTTTGTGAGATTCCTCCTGGTATGTTGTTTGTACAAAGTGTTTCTTTCCTTCCAGTTGAAGTTCATCAGAGTCATTCATACTCAACACGTGCTCTCTTCCACTCATTGTTCAGTTCGCAATGGTCACTGTGACAATTTCTTCAATACACCTGAGTTCAAGATGGATGGAGGTACGATACTGTCGAGAATTTCCCTTGATGTGTTCAAAACCCTCTCTTACCCTCACCTGGCCTTTCGCTGTCGCCGTGAATCCTGGACAGGTGATTGCTGCGAGTCCACTTGTGAAAGCACTGACCAGTACATCTGTGGTGCTGAAGAACAGGGCTATGTGAGCACAGGTTACTTCAATTGCAAGCTGGCCACAGATAAGTGGAGAGCATATCCTTTGAAAGGTGACGCTGGCTCCTTCTCAGGATTCGCTTTGGATCTTTCGATGAGATCAATGGCAGTTTCAGAACTTCTGCAGGATCGAGTGCGTATTTATGACAAAGTGGGATCCTCTTGGGTCCTTCGTGATACCCTCACGGGGAACCCAGGCACAAGATTTGGGACAAATTTGGTTCTCTCCTCTGGGCCATATAATGTGGTGAGCAACCCAAGTTTCAAGTCACCACTGACACTCGCCGTGATCGACGGTTTCCGGACTCTCAGAATTTACAAGTGCAATAAGGATGGCTGTATCACGACACAGGAGTTTCCAATGGTCATGGACGTTGCTGTATCAGATGATGGCTCTGTGTTGGCAACATCTGATTTCGTACAAAACCAGCCACCCGGTGCGATCAGTGTGTACGAGGAGGACCAAAACGGAGTATTTCAATTGCGAGCAGATGTAAATGTCACCAGGAATGACGTGATTGCAAATCTTTTGGCCCTCGACTTGAACGGGGATGGAAGCAAACTGGTTGTGCATTCTCAGCTCACAGAATTTGACGCATTGATTAACTTCGAGTTGGTAACTGATGAATACGTTGGCATTATGTCCTGGGATGGAGCGTCAGGTAGATATGAGAACGAGACCGAGTTCAGGTTTGAGTCTCCGCTGAACACGTTACATTTTCCATTGTCATTGGGAATCAGCCAAGACGGAAACGTTCTTGCATATGGTTTCCCAGAGTGCGACGGAACCCAGCTGCACATCAAAGAAGTCAATGAGGAGCAAGGCTGGCTGGCTCGACCAGCCCCTTCATTTGACAGGACAAACTGTGTGGACAATGAGCGACCGAACAGGAACAATGGCTTGGCAATATCTGGCAATGGAGACAGGATTGCCTTCAGGGTTGGGACCAACGTCAGCTATTTCCAGTGGGAACCTGAAGGTTGGAATCGGATTGGTGATCCCTTTCCACTGACACATTATCCTGTTTCCATGTCTTCTGACGGTACTGAGCTTGCCATTGGATCCCCTGAAGACGACATTGGAGGAGTAACAGGTGTATACTCGCTCCCCGGGAGGAAGGTGTGCCCCAGCGACATGTCTCTCTTGCGTGTATCACTGACTATCGACAGGTTGCCGCAGGATGTGACATGGAACATTCTCAACAACAGCACAGGGGAGACTCTCTTTGAGCAAGGACCCTACCCACCGGATTACGCTTTTGCAACAGTTGTCGAAGAGAAATGTATCGCCTCTGATTCCTGTTATGTTTTCTCAATATACAACAAGAGAAATCGCGGCTTGCAAGCGCCGGGACAGTATGCAGTTTTCTTGGATGGCGAGAATGTTGCCAGTGGATCATTCTCTGGTCTTTTTGAAAGAAAAGAATTTGGGAACTGCATTTCTTGCCCTGATGGCACCCAGAAATTCAGCATGATGATGTTGGCATGTGGTGTAATGGATTGGGCTGTGTTGCAGTTGATCAACCGGGGAGAATCAAATTCTACTGTGCTTCAGTATGGCAACACACTCGACAAGGCTACGACCAATACTGTTTACCAAACTTGCTTTGAACACGATGTGGGGCGGGATTGTCCTTCTACGTTCCAGGTGAAATATGATGCATGTCTTGACCCCACGGAATGCTATGGTGTGAACGTTTTTTCCAAACAAAGGCACACGGCTTACCTTGAGCTTGCTTTTGGGGAAGAAAGAGTGAAGGCAAAGGAGAGTGCTGTTTGCAACGGGGAGACTTTCACTATTGGACAAGAGGACAAGTGCTTCCAGGAGGAAGATTGGATCAACGGAGATGGTGGACGCCGACTGCAGTCCTTTCTGGCTACCTTTGGCCGGGTGGCCAGCTAAAGAGCTACCCTTGCTAAACCTGCAACTCTACACTTTCTTTAGGTTTAATTCATCGAGTTACATGTTATCCCGACAATACAGGTCTATCTAGCTAGAGACGGAACCATGGGGCCGAACGACACGACTCTTCCGGTACCGGTGCGGAAGCTGTCACAACGCGGACACCAATGCTACGATGGCTTTCTTCACATCCCTCTTGGTCCCGTTGCTTTGTGGAGGTGTGGGTACAGAAGTGACGTAATGGATTAGCGCCCGCAAAAGACATGGATGGGTAGCCATTCGGAGTCGATGTTGGTGCACTGTAGCGAGCAGTGTCAATGCTTGAATCCCAACAAACGGATTCTGTGCCTGGTTTCCAGCAGTTCGAATGGCAACATTCCGGGTCAGTGCTTCCAAGACGGAAGTCGATGCTATTCTCGCTCGAATCGATTCTTCGCGACTCAAGTCTAGAATAGCACTGCATGCTGACTGCTTGCATGGAGTTGTGGAAGATGTTGACAAGGCAATTTGAGCCAGGGATTCAAACAGCAGTCCTCTTTCTTCCATGGGTAGTTTGTAAATCAGTTTCGCCGAGTGTTTTATCAATGCCAGTGAGAACACTTCTGGCAATGATAACGGAGACGACGCTAGTTGCATTAAGGGTAGTACGTGATGTTTTGAAACTTGGACATTGATGAATGAGCTGATCCTCGATATTGCATCCGTGGCTTCCGCCCTCACTTCGTTGCTGGCGTCGTGTAGGGCTCTTTGCGACAAAGTTGCAATGAGAGCCGTGTCTCGGGCCACCTGGGACCCTGAGGCCTCTCTAGCGAGAAGACGAACAACTCTTACTGCCCGTCTTCGTGTCGCCGTGTTGTTTTGAATCCCCATGAGCTGCCTCAAAAGATCCAAGACAGCCCCATCCCCATACAAGGAAACGGTGACGCACATGTCCATATCTTGACAGAGACTGAGCAGGAAGCTCAGGATGTTTCTTTGGACATGGCGATTGGATGTTGCCCCCATTCTTGCAACAGACCCCAGTATATTTCCGTGATTGGCTAGCAAAGTTCTTGTGCTTGGAGATACCACCAAGTTGCGGATGATTGCAGATAGTCGTTCTAGAGACTTTTTGTCAGTTTCCAGGCAAGTAGTGAAGGGAATACTGGCGAGAAAGAGCATCAATGTAGAATTTTCAACAATCTCCATGCAGTGTTCTTCTCCAAAGTTCGAGACGTTTTTGAGCAATCCCAGTAGAGCTCGTGTAATTGTCGGGTCATCAAGATGCCGGCCCGCACAAAAGGCGGCGATTGAACGTACCAGCCGGCATTGGAACAAGAGAGCGGATCCTCGGAGACTTCCAGAGCATACATGAAGAATAGACGTCACAGGCAACCCTGCCCTTCGCCTTAGTGAGACAATCAAGAACTGAAAGAGTTCCAGTCCAGAGTTGGAGAGTGAATTGTCGCGTGCTGCTGCCGTGCATCGAGTGTAGATCAAGTTCAATATCTGACAGATACTGTCTATCTCGGCGGATCGAGCCAAATCTGAGCTATTATACCGACGAAAGATTAATCCCAAATGCAGACACAAAGCATTGGTGATGCCGGCCTGGAGAAGTTGGTCATACAAGAGCGAGGATGAAGCATATTCCTTGGCATCTAGCTTTTCGCGGAGAGAACGGGTCACTTCGAGTCGTTGCTCCGAGGAAATGGCCGAATGAAGCTTGGAAATGATAGCCAAGCTGATGGACTGGTGGCCGAGGCTCACTGGAGGACTCTGGCGTTTTTGCTCCATGGATAATGAGCATTGCAAGACAGGAAGAGAAGAAGGAAGAACAAGAGTCAAGTAAGGAAAGAAACGAAAGGTCAGTAAAGGATCCAGAACCAATTTGTTGTGGACGATATTGTTTCGTCCGACTGAAGCGCACGGCGAGCTCATCCACCTTACTTTTTTCGGCGATTTTTTAAGCGGCGATTTTTTCTCGTCTCTCGACAAGAGACCACCGACATTGCGATCGCGGACACTGCCGTCTCGTCGGTCTGTTGATGCTCTGCCCAACACTGTGGCTGATTCCCAAGCAATCAAGGAGTTCGAGCTCCGCGTCCAAGCCAATAGTGCCCAACAACAAAAACCCGGACAACATCGAGAATCGAATCGTCTTCAGAAACAACAATGATACGTCCTTGGAAATTCTACGCTCACCTAATACTCGCATTCGTCGCCTTGAGAGGTGTCTCCGGTGACGACAATGCGGAAGAAGGAGACTACTATCAGCGATACTTTGAGGTGTGCAAGGATGAAACTATTGAAGTAGAAGATGTTTCGCTGTTATGCGACAGTCCAGGCGCATATTACTACGGAAACGGGAAATATCGGAACAGCGAAACATGTGCTCTAGGAGACAAGGGACATGTCTCCATTTACTTCTACATTGGAGAAGAGATGATGGGATACGAACCGTACGTAACGCTCAAAGTGAAGAGCAATGATGGGAGCATGGAAGATGCGTACATTGCCCAAGACGAGCAGCTGTGCTCTCTCAGTGGTCTTTCTTCTCAAGATGGACAAGCTTGTCCTGCAGAGGGCTTCTACTATCTAAAGGGAACTGTCTACCTTGGAAACAAAGACGGAAACAGCAATTCGCTTGATGTCGTGGCAACAGTGGGATTCCGATCGGATCCAGAAGTAGGATACTTTGACCTTGGTGGGGCCAACACCGATTACTGCGAAGGTGGAAGCTATGGAAAGTATTCCTATGCCAAGATGCGAAAGCAGATTGCCAACGCTGTTGCTTCCTTTCTCGTCACATGGGGAACACTCTTCTTTGGAGTCATCGCCGTCGTTGCATTCGGCGTCTTCTTAGTAAAACGAATCCGAAACCGAAATGACGTCGCATTCGAAGAAGCCGATGAAGATTTGCTGGATGGACACTTCAATCAGGTGATTGTCATGTCTAGCAGTAGATCCCTGGTAGACTTTTGAGACTTCAGAGATGGACTCGGCTCTATCAATTGCTTCGTTCGCAATTGCCTTGGGGATACCGTAGTACCGGTACAATTATTCATTCTATTTGTCATGATGTAACACTGCACTCGAAATACGCTCGCTCTTGCGCCAACCCTAAAACAAACTAAACATGATGGCGATTATTACATGCAAACGCACTTTTTGACTAGAACAACACAACCTGAAGCCTGGAAGAAATCAGGCATCCCACGTGTGCTGGTACTCGAAGCCAAGTGGCAGCATTGATACCGGTGGTAATAAGATACGAGTGCGAGAAAGCAGAGTCACGAATGGAGGTAATCTATCTATGGTTGGTGAGGTGAAATCGCTTGAATCATTCGAACCGTATCACTGATGGTCTGTTCTGTTTGTAGGGAGCGGCTACAAGCAATGCATCATGACGACGAATTGGTACCAGGTCGAAGTGGAGCTGGACCTGTCTTCAGGCTGTACCGGTACTTTTGGTGGGGCAAGCCTGACTCGACTCGCGAATTAGGTGAACGAGTGACGAGTGACGAGTCTAGCATACCTTTACTAATAGCATGATATCAAACGTACTATAAATTAATTCAACCTCAGCCTGCACTAGAGTTTACTGCTGAACATCTATCTACACTTGAAAGACCACGTGAGACCATAGGTCTCGATGAATCCCGACACATCTATCACTTTTCCGCTCCATTGATTCGAAAAAGCGCAATGGCTCTTGCCCATTCGTTTATTGTCGTCGTCTCCTTCTCGTTTCAACAACGGGAACTATTCGAGTGAAATGTTGTTTTCTGCCAGCTTTGCTTCCAGCATCGCAATTCGTGCGTTGGCGGCTTCCAGCTCTTTGGATAATACAGCTGCAGATTTGAACTTCTTTTTTGGTGCTGCAGCGGCGCCGCCCGCACCCCCGCCTTTGGCAGGGTTTAGGCACATCAGTACAGGTCCCTTTGACGATCCCTCCCACCACTCACCGAAGGCATGGGCAGGCGTTCCACTGGCAGTGTCAGGGAAAATATCATCTTGGAAATCTTGTGACTTTCTGGGGACGTAGAAGTTCAGTGGTTGCACACCCTCGTTATTTGCGACCTTGAGCATACGAACGGTTTCATGACCCATAATGTTAAGTCCTCGTTTTGGGACTGTGCAGTAACCTTTTCCGGGCGTGTTCGACCTGAATCCATCGTTAAGCTTGAAGATGAAAGGTGCCTTATCTTCGTATTCATAGAGACGCACAATTCCATCACCTTTTCCAGCCAGGTACAAAACACTAGTGTCGTGGTCGTATAGAGGAATCATTGCACCTGCGGCAGTGTCAACGTTCTCGGTGTGAAGTGGTTTATCAAGGTTGGCCAGGTCCCAAACTTTGATCTCTCGGGCTGACTGCCGAGATGCCCCGCAGGAGAACATTTTTCCAGTTTCTCCCACGTAGACAAGTTTCACACTCTTACTTCCTTCGTGGGCCTTTTCGATCTTACTGATAACGTTATTGGATCGAGCATCGACAAAACGAACTGCCTTATCTTTGGCACTGTAGGCGAAATTGTCTCCCTTGTAGTCCCAAACGATATCCTGGATCAAATCATGAGTTTCTTCGCATGACTGCACTTCCGCGGCACTTTCCACATCCCAAATTTTGACAGATGTGTCGGCACTGGTACTGAGCAGTCCCCCCTCGCAAGATGGGTGGTAGCGAAGCAGTGTCACCTTCTTCTGGTGGCCTACCAGATCAATCAACGACTCGGAGAGATTCTCACCTTTCTTGGCATTACCTTTCTCATCAGTAGGCTCCCAATCTTCGGGAATAGACCAGATTTTAATTTTGGTATCCTCACTTCCAGTGGCCAACATGGAATCATCAAAGGGGTTCCAATCCATGTCCATTACAGCACCAGTGTGCCCAGTGACAATCGGACACAGTCCAGCCTCGAAACGACCCGGGCGGTCCAATCTACCGACAACCATCGAGCCACCACCACCAGCCATACCGACTGCAAAGTATTTGGTGGAAGCTTTGATGTATTGTTGATCACCAGTCACGGTGGACATGCGAAAGTCGGTCCAACATTGCTGCGAGAGGATAAGCAACCATTAGAAACGCTTGCCTGGTTCAACCAACCAAGCTACTTCACTCTTTCCAACTTTAATGACACTCACCTCGACCTTCGGTGCGTCGCAATAGACGTGACGATACTTTGACTTTCTGATCTTGAACATGGTAACTCAGCTGTGAAGTAATGATGTGACAACTGTCTGCTGGTCTTGGGTGTCTTGGGGGATACAGGCACTAACTAGCTAGAGGCAAGCGGATGAGTGGTGGATTGCTCGTCCCAAAATCTCAGTGAACGAGGGCTAATCTAGCTCAAACTAGCTAGTATGCAAGACAAGAGACGCTGAACAAGAGCTTCCGAGGTAGAGTGATGGTCTGAAGCAACACTCCTTGGATCACTTCACTACTTGGTTCTTGTTGGCACTGTCGGCGCATTCATCGGACGGTCCTGAAGCCAAGATATCACTTCGCTCCACCAATTCTACGTCCGCAGTTCAAAACTAAAATTTAGTAAAAATGTATTTTCCCTCTAAGACCCGTGATTACATGGTTCTTTTTGGAAATATAAAGTCAATTTCATTAAAAAGCTTTCAAAATTGGTTGGAAGAGCAAAAGACATCACCAGCAGCTTCACCAGCGCAAAATTTGGTCCGTTAAGCTTCCGATTGAATCATTCCCGGTCAATCGCATCGAGTCCTGGGCGGCCGGGCCCAAAGCAATAAGAAGAGCGGACAATCTCGAAACGATCAAGAGTAGGTCCCGGTACGAGTGGAGTGACGGTCAGTCCCCAGAACACATCTACAGAGCCTACAACATGTACCTTTTCCAAAGACAGGTTTACGTTTAGACTATTTTGCCTTCCCGTCCGAGCCCAAGTGAGCTGCTCAAGGTCGGGGTCCGAGATGCCAGACATACCCACTGATTGTTCGATTCATTCCGGTTGGGTTCTGCTTTTGTTTGCCTACTCCTCTTCAGGCTCTACTTGATCAGTAGCCGCTTCGCTTTCTGAATTCTTGGAGACAACCTTTGCGGGAACTGTGGAGACCGCAGGATCAGGCTCAGCCGACGAGCCATTTTGTTGGGGCTGCTTCGGCGCTACATTCCCAAATGAGCTCGAACTCTTCTTCATCAAGTCTCGCTGTGATGCAGAGGCATCCAAAGCCTTGACAAAATTGTCACGCGAGAATTGCAGACACCGCAGGGGGCCATTGCAGACAAAGGCGGTAAAGTCTGGTGCGAATTGAGGATCACGAAGTGCGTTAATACCGAGCAAGGTCCAGGACGAAGCATCAGCTCGGAACTCGTCTGCACCAGAGATTACGGTCACTTTTCCGTTCAGTATCAAAGTAGCCACGTTGCTAGACACTCCTTTTTCGTAGAGGAGATCGTCGGGGAGGTCTTTCCCAATTTCCCGTTCTGCCGTGGGAAACTTTGACACCACAGTCTCACTCACGAGTTTGAGTAGCTGGTCTTCAGTCATGTGTGATACAGCCTTCGAATAGTTGGCCAACATATGAGCCGTGATGGCTTTGGATTCCGAGTACGAAAGCTTTTCATCCACGATTTTTGAGCCAAGGAGACGAAGCTTTGCCCATTCAAAACCTTCCTCACGGTTCACTTTCACCTGATGCGTGCCGTCGACAAAGGCATCCGTCTCGTCCACAATCTCGTGACCAAGGATCTCTTCGACGATGTCTGCGCAAACGGAGAGGACGGACAAAAGACCATAGGCGTCGTTAGCACGAACATCGAAGCGTCACCACGTTTAGATTCATAGACTTTAAAAATAAGTACCTTCCAGCGTGATGATTCCTTTGATTTCGTAGTAGGGGTCAGTGTCGCCGACGCTGACAACATCGCGTACCAGGGCCATGTGGGAGCGCCCCCCTCGGAGCTCACGCAAGACGTCTCCTAGCTTGTCCACAGGCCACACAACGTGAACTCCACGTCCAAACACTTGAACAAATTGTCGCAACGGAACAGTGTCCTCTGGGTCGATGAAAATGAGGTCCTTCACGAACAACAGACCAATGACATTATTTTTGCTGACTTCATAGACGGGAATACGAGAATACCCAGTCTTGAAAATGGAAGCGATAGTCTCGAAATTCAACCGTTCGTCGACGTTCAGCATGTAAGTGTTCTTGAGAGGTGTCATGACTTCGCTGACCGTCATATCTTTGTATTTGAGAGCCCCTCTCATCGTTACAGCAGTGTCATTATCCAGCACCTTTTCTTGTACGTGAATCTGGAGCATCTTCAGCATTTCGGCAGAACTGTAAGTAGTGGCAAGCTCTTCACCCAGAGCCTTGTCGAGAATGAATGCAAGAGGAAACGCAACCGGGAAGAGGATGAATCGAATCACCAGCACGAGCGGAATGGTCTTGCTGCCAATCAGAAGGGCATAGCGCGAACACAGCGCTTGCGGCAAAATTTCTCCAAAAATCACAATGAGGACTGCAGTTTTAACAAACAAACGAACGGAGATTCAGTGACAAGCTCCAAAATGGCACCAAATATGATGGTAGCATCTTCTGCCACCATCATTTTTTATCGTCGTACTTACAGGTACTAATAATAAATCCCACGGCACCTCCGGCTTTGTCCGCTAGTAAAATGGAAAGCAAGGCATTGACGGCAACATTGCCCAAGAGAAGAGTGCAGAGGAGAAGATTTCCTTGTTTTCGAACGGGATAGATTCTTTTGGCGGCTTCAGCGTTGACTTCGTCGTCCCCTTCCATCACGATTTCGAGCCCCGTTTTATCCAGCCCCATCAGTCCCAGCGTCAACCCACTAAACAGAGCTGACATAAGAATAAGGAGAATGATCATGATGTACTGCAGAAAATCTGGAATTGCCGTGATCCAGGAATTCTCGGTTGGAGTGGGACAATTGGCATCGCAAAATGACGTGATGTCGGAGTCGGAAACATTGAAGAACGCAGTGGCATTGAGAGCCTCATCTTGGAGTTCTCGGCCATGGAAGGCGGGGGAAGATGAAGCAGCGGTAGCTCTCAAATGATGGCCGTCATGGTGATGAAGGTGGCGGTCGTGTTGCTCAACCACACCCAAAAGCAGAATCAGAACCGTTCCCAAGAAAAGCGACAGAAGCAGACCCTTGTTGAACGACAGCGAGGACGGCCATGAAAACACCGGTGACTTCACCCAAGAAACTCTTACCATCGATGGACAAGGAAGCGTTGATTGGTTTTTGTGACGGCTGCAACGACACGAGAAACGAGACCTTCCTTTGGCGGGGTGTGTGGTGGCAGTTCCACGACTCCTTAGTCCCGAATTTCCTACGACTGATTAAGGCTAGAGTTAAGCCAAAATAAAGCAGCAGAGTGGAAAGGTATTTCAATCCCGGAAGCCGCGTCTCGGAGGTAGTGTCAACCTGGACTATGCTTCTGGATTTATCAAGCGGGACCGAGCGTCTCATTTCTTGCTGGTTCGATCGCAATGACCATTCTAAGCATTGGTAAACTCATCATGGTGCCGGTACTACCGTACTTTATCTGTACCGGTACCACCGGTACATCCTAACAGTCCGACAAGCACCTTCTCTAAAGTTATTGGAAGGAGTTTTTTAGGCAACTCCGTAGAAGAACCAACCAGGTACAGGGTACAGGGTAAGGATTGCAAGCCCATGGAATTGGAAGTGCGAGTATTCAACCAAAGCAAGGAGGTGTGGCCCAGGTTGCGTCGGTTGTGGGAGATATCAGGGCAAAGCAAGATTGGGTTCCTCGAAACAGGATGTAAGGCAGTCATGGATGGACAAAACGTTGCTGCCGTTGAAGCCACAACATGTACCGGTACCAGCACCGGTACATAACGAACAACGAACAACAGCCATCAGGAATCGAATCAGGCGGGCCACCAGCACCAGCCATCAACCAAGCCAACGAGCGAACTGCCATCAATAATGGATTGAATCGAATCATTTGGGATTGTCCTCCTACTAGACCACCATAGTGAAATCTGCGAGCCTCCAAGAGGAGCTGCGTTATGCACCTGTTCGCAAGTAGGGCCACTTCACTAGCCAAAGAACAGCCATCAATACTGGATTCGGGATTGTCGTACGTACCACGTGTAATACTGTAGCTTATACTCCCGCACTGACTTCTGAGTAACTACTAGCTAGTACATTTATTGTCTCCGAGAGGAGCTGCGGTACATGTTGTATTGACTCTGTGCGATGTGCGAGTATGTTATTAGAACAGCATCCAAGGCCTTTCTGACACAAGGTCCCACTGTTCTATTTTCGCCTCCTCGCCTCTTCGCCCCTCGTACTTGTAGGTCTTTGGATCACATGTGAAGGCAAACAAGTAAGTACTAGTAGTCATTCACTGCCGAAAGAGAGGTGGGGGGAAGAGGTGGCATCCGAAACTTGACTAGCACATTCTGCCGTTGTACGCGCATACGGTAAGGTTAACGTTTGGCTACACTGTCCGGGAATGCGCGATTAGGATAAAAGCCCTTAATGCAAGAGCATTGAATATTTAAGTGAGTAACGCACGTCTTTTTCGGTCTCGAGTTGAAGAGCTATAATTGAATATTAGACCTTGAATTTAAGAAACCAAATGAAGTTGTCCATTACATTGATTTTGCCCCTGATAGATGGCCAAGCCAACATGTTCAAAGAGCCAAACAAAATGCTCAGCTACTAGCTAGCTACTATCCCTTTCATAAGGAGATAAAGTATCTAAGAGAGATGATACAAACTAAAACAAAATATTTGATACGCCACAATGCCTTCCAAGAGCTCTTCCAAGAAGGTGCCAAAGAAGGTATCAACATTTGATACAACATTTCCGTCCCTCACATGAAGTGCCTGCTGCGCTGGCAGAAAATGGACTATTGAAGGCTTACCGGTACTGGTACCTGTCAAAGGATGCACTTCCTAGGACGAGAAGCAGGATAAAGCTGTGTGACGACAGCCCTACGTACAAGATTCCTTACAAATGAGCAAGTCGCTGCTTGGAGTAGCTACCGTCGCTAAGAGTACTGTAGTTTGTAATAATATTTCTGCTGTCTTACCACCATTTTGGAATACATGTAGTATCTTATAATCAAGGTCCAACAGCAAACAGGCTAAACTATCAGTGAACGACATGTCGCTCGATTTAGTGACCTTGAGAAGGTAGCCAGTTAGCCCTCATAGCACTCATACTCTCAGTTCAAAAAAGAAGAGAAAAGCCCCACGAAAACTTTGCCTTCAATCGATCACAAACGCAGCAACAGCCAACGATCGACGATCGACGGTATCAGTGCATGTCAGGACTTGGTTTGCCTCTCTGTTTCAGGCTTTGGTGCAGAGTAGAGAGGCGCTATGATGCCTAGTAGCGGTAGATCGCACCAAGAGAATCCGAGTAACACGTCCAACAATCATAGCAGTAACAACAGCGAAAGCGGAAGCATCAGCAATTCGAACCACGGGATGAACGTCAATCCTAACGCCAACGTGAACTACAGCGGTAGTCGCGGGAGCGGAAGCGGTAGCAACAGTGCTGGAGGCAGCATCAGGGCAGGCGTTGGGGATCAGATCCGCCAGCGGTATCATCACGGACATGGGGGAGACATGGGTTCCTCAGCAGGCGGAGGAGGGATGTCTGCTTCTGCCTTTGGTGGGTCCATGTCGATGGGCGGGCCTATGATGGGTGGTCCCATGGCTGCCATGGGCGACTACAGCGGTCTCAACCACTATGGCCGTGCTGCTGGTCTAGGTCCCTCAGGATTGGGTCATTTCAACCCGGCAGGAGCATCTGCTGCTGGAGGCATGAACGCTGCTATGAATCCATCTCTGTATCCCCACATTGGTGCCACAGCTGGCATGCAATCGCCCCAGCAACAAGCAGCAGCCGCTGCTGCTTTGGGAGATCAATTGGACTTTCGTCAAGGGGGGCCTAATAGCAGCAGTGCAGCGGGGAATCCGCAAGCTGAACAAGAGGAGGAACTCCTCCTGAACATCCTAATCGCCAGACGTCAACGGCAATTTGGAACTGGCGGTGGTGGTGGCCCAGGACCCGCGACTTCTTGGGCCGATGACTTTATGCGTTTGCGAGAAAAGACAATGAATTCACAACAGCAAGATAACATGGGAGCAGCAGCAGCATCGGGAGGTGATCGAATGCAGTACGATGGCATGACAAACGCTCTGCAGCAAGGGGATGGCAGTCATCGCTCTCATTCCGCTGGGAGGATGAGCATTGGGTCAGCAGCTGGAGCCATGGCTCATATGCAAAACCCTAACATGACCATGAACAACATGGGGATGAATATGCAACCACCTCAAAACCGACAGTTCTTGTCGGATGCATCAGGGAGACTTAGACACCGAGGGAGCATGGGATTTCCAATGGGATCGCCGCAGGGAGCATGGATGGGGGCGACCAATGCTGCAGCTGCTATGCACTCGCATCCAAACAATCCTGCTAATAGCAACTTGTTTGCCCATGGAGGCCAACGACAAGACATGATGAAGAGCAACACACAGCTAGGTATGGACGTTCTGGAAAGTGTAGATCGAATGATGCCAGGCAACATGATGCACGATGCTAGAATGGCCGAACAGGGTTCCGTCTCGGGCCAAAACCCGTATCATAACCGGTTTGCTGTTGGTCAGCACCATGGTATGTCGATTCAGGATCCTCCTGGCATGGGGTTGGGGAAACGATCCATGGAAGGTCAACAGGGCATGGAAAAGGCTGGCAAAATGACATCGCAGCACCCGATGCAACACATGTTCCACTCTCCTCAGCAACAGCAGATGGCTCACTCCTCCGCCGAAGAAGCTCAGCCTGCTGCCAAGAAGAAGCGTCTCCACAAGCGCAAACCGGCTGACATGCCTCGAAGACCACTCTCGGCCTACAACCTTTTTTTCTCAGAAGAGCGGGAACGCATCCTGCGAGAAATCGAAGGCAAGACCGCCGACGACGACGAAGGGGACAAAGATGGAAAGGACGATGCCAAGCCCAAGGCACTTCTTCGCCCTCTATTGCCTTCGGAGAAGAAGCGAAGACCGCATCGCAAGACACATGGCAAGATTAGCTTTAAACTACTCGCTCAAAAGGTTGGGCAGCGATGGAAGGAGCTATCGGATCACGAACGGCAACGGTACAAGGACATGGCGCAAGAAGACATGAAGCGGCAAAAGAAGGCCATGGAAGAGTACTATCAGAAGAGGTCTGTCCTGGCATCAAGTGATACAACCGCCAACGCAAAGGAAGCGGAATGAGTCTGTACATTCAGATCATTGTCTAATGTCGTGCTGGTAGGCTACTTTTGAATTGTATATAGTGGTGACATGTATTGCTAGTGTGCTCGCTGTTCCATTGTATCATTAGGCTTCTGTTAGTATCGGCACAGGACGTTGTACTTCATGCCAATGCAGTGCGATTCGTAGAATCTACTAGTAGTCGTTCCGACATGTTTTCGATCGCACTCGACGCCCGTTGGTCAGCTTTCTTGCATGTTAGTTCACAACTTACCCGGTAGCTTTTACAGTGTTGAATCGAATCGTTTGGCCGGTCTACTAGTGAGTGGGCAGACCCTGTGACCTGCCTGGCCATCTGGAGGCCGGGTGACATGATCACCAGTGCCTGGTTTGGATGCAGCATCCTGGTACAGTGGGTTCCATGTTGTGGAAGGTCGCGGGTGAAGCAGACACTCATAGATATACCGGAAGTGACCTCGCTTTCGATTCTTGGGGGTGGTTCCCATCATCTGAGGTACCGCGGATATTGGTCAAGGGCTGATTTTGGTTTTACTCCGGCCAACCAACCATCTTCCTTCACGCCATAAACGCCAACCGGCACAAGACCATTTCTCGTTGCATCATTGTGCCACATTGTCTTCGTTGCCACAAATTGTACAATCGTAATGCTGTTGTCGCCCAGGCCTTCGACGTTACCGCGAAGAGCGTGCAACATGAAGCAATGGGCGTCATGTACGTAGCCAGCTAGCTAGCTACCGGTAGCTACAGTCGCAGCAGTTCTAATAGCTCTTTGGACAGTTCTAGTTGTCTTTGTGAAATGTTGCTTTCCTAACAGCATCGCCAGAACTATCATAGCTGGCACATTCCCTGGCCGGTAGCATCACGGCACCACACTGCTGGGAATTCGTAGACAAAACCAGTCAGAGCCTTCCCAGTCATGCACAGGAAAATGGCAACATTTTCTCCCGTCCATGGAGACATTGCACTGGATTTCTCTGCTGAATGCGTCAGTGGGATTGAATACAATCTCAGGATCCACGCAAACATCGTCGACAAATCCAGTAAAGCTGTAGTTCACAATGCTGGTGCTATACCATCGATTGAACAACATCGGCTCAAGAAGCTGAATCTCCTGGTCCCGGTGATCTCGACTCTGATCATTGGTTACTATCACCGGGCGAGCACCTGACCATCTCCGCGACACCTCGACTCCGGCAGTCTCCAAATTCTCCGGAGTACTGTTTTCTTGGTCCGAGACGCTAGCGACAATCCAAAAGTAATCGTCAAGACAGCCCTCTGGCACAGCGTATAGCGTCCCGGCATTTTCAAGGCTGGAACGTGGGCAAGGCATCCAATGATTAGTACAGGGAATTCCCTCTAGTAGCCACAGGAGGTCAAGCACGAACAGCCGGAATGGTTCATAACTTACTCATCTAGAAACGCCCTTTCTTCTGGAGACACTTTTTGAAACCTGGAGCTCGTTCCCAAGTTAATCCTGAACTGTTTTCGTAGATACTTCGCTGGCATCACGACTGATGGAAGATACAAAGGATAGGTCACACTCCGGTTAGGGATGGTGTGGACTATGCAATTCGACCACTTCAAACCTTGCTTGACGCACCCAATGGAGACTCTCCAATTTCTTCTAATGCTTTCACGACGAAACGAATCTGATGGAAGTTAAACTTTCCCCCATCAAAATTCTGCATGAAATAGCAAATGTTGGCAGCGTCTGAAATCATGAAAAACCCAATGATACGCGATCTGAGAAACCCAACAAGATCACACGGGCGGCCGCGACACGCAAAGAGCTGCATACATACCTACAATCACGGTGAAAGGGCGGCCTTCCCGGGTACTGACAGGATACGTACGTAGTTCAGTTAGTTGCAGCCAAAAGCAAGCGGGTTCTCGGGAGCACCGCTTGGTACATGTACAGAACTAACCTCAGCCAATCGCAGAAAGACGACATCGCCTCGATGGCTCGCTTGCTTCCCATTCGTTTGAGCAAACTGTCTTTCAGCTGCGTCTTTTGGGACTTGTTCAGGACAATTTGCCTGAGCCTCGCTCCGGACCGAATGCAAAGACCAGTAGATGGATCGATAGTCACTCGATCGGCAATCAGAGTGTTTGCTTCTGCTGGCTCGAAGGTTGGTGCGAGCGGAACAAGCGAAGTGTTGTGTAACTCTTCCGACTTCTCATCATGGCCGTGGCAAGCCCGAACAAAAGCTTTTCGTAAACGCATTGCGGATGCCGAGGAGAGGGAGTCGACGTACAACGCCATGTCACTGACTATTTCTTCAAAGAGATCTGGCCCCCCAGGGTGCGAGTAGGATTCTGTGTTTTTCAACCGTTTCGATCCATCGCTGCTGCGAGTTTGAAAGGATCCAGGTAAGACGACAAGGCGCTCTTGGTACGTTTCCGTTTACCGTCCAGCTTACCTAAAATAGCCCTTCTCTGCCAGAGTGGCAAGAAGCTGCACAAACGTATCTCCTTCCAGTGGCACGTCCTTGTGGGCAAGTTTCATCTCCTCAAACAACGAAATAGCCTTGGGGATGTCGCCGTTACCTAAGAAAAGACTGAACACCTGCCGATATGCTCGAAGTTTTGTCCTTCCTTCCTGCGGAACATTATTTCAAAACCACTAAATACATTAGCGTGGCACAATCAACCTGCCTGCATACCAGCATTGCACAAATAATGGCGACACGCACCATTCCCGATTCAATCAATTCCAGCGCAGCATCCGCATCCCCCATGGCCAATAAACGTCTCGTTCGGATGGAAATACTTTGCTGCGTCGGTTCGTACAAGAAATCATGAAGGGTTGCCAACTGTTCGGGGATTGTTGCGCTGGTATCATTTTCATCTTCCTGGTTGTTGTTGTGATTCTCATTTTCCCCAAAGCCATTCAACGCTTGAAACAAGATGTTTTCCGGCGACGACGACTGCAAGCCAATGCGCATTTTGGACAAGAGCCCTCCCGATATTCCAGAGGATGCCTGTAGACAAGCATTGATCGTTTCTTCCGTCGTATCCCCTGCCTCTTTCATTTTTTCCCAAAGAATGGCGATTGCCCGTACTTTGTATCGAGTGTGCGACAAGACTGCCAGTTCTTGCAGTATGCCCAAGGCGTAGTTGTACTGTCGACTATTCCAGTTAAGTTGTTTTTGAAATGCAGAGGATCGTTTCTCGAGTTCTTGCAAAAGATGTTTCTTTTCCAATTCCTCTCCGTCGCCAGGGAGTCGTCCGTCCTCGCACAGCGTGGTGAGCACAGGCACATCCACCTTGACTTGTGGTTCGTCCAGTCGAATCCAGCGAAGCACCTCATTTTTCTGGTCATGGCTCAGTTGATGATTGTGACTCGTCGAATCGTCATTGTTTTTGTTGTGTTGATTGTCACGTTCCTGCAGGTAAATCTCGAGGAGAGCCTCGAATGTATCGTACGCCTCGGCATCAAAGGCGGTGGGACTTCGTTGAATGGACGAATCTTGTGGTAGTGAAAATACATCAAATATTGACTTTTGACTGTGACTGCTGCTGTTTCCTATTGCTGGCACTGGATGATCCTTGCTTCTCCCTTTGCCTTGGGTATTAGTACCCAAAAAGGTTTCTTGCCAACGACCATTGTCAGCTGCCTGGTTTCGAACGCTATTGCGCTGTTGTCGTTGTTGTGCATTTCTCCAGGATTCTCGGTGAGGATCGGAAGGACGACCTCTCGAGTGGAAAAAAGAGTCAATGGCACTTGTGCTGCTTGGATGACGAGGCTGCTCCTTATGATTATTGGTCGGCTGCTGGCCCACAGAACTGTTACTGTTTGCCAATGCTGGTGCCTTGGTGGCTTTTTCAAGTGAACGGAGCAAATCCAAGGCAGTCGACCGACCGTCTTGTTTCTTCTTTTTTGGTTTCTTTCTTTGTACTTTTCGTTTTGGAACTTTTTCCTTTTCTTCTGACAGCAGAGCACGCAACAGCGAGGACGAAGTGGGCTTTTTGCCATCATTGGAAAAATGCCGGACTCCGTGAATTCTTGGTTGTGATTGTGATTCAAGCAATGATAACAAGATATTTCCACCTATGCATAGTAGCTGGATGCTGCTGCTGGCCCTGCTGTGTAGACCCTTGCTCGTAATACTAGTAGTACAAGGATATGAAGTCCTCCTCGGTATCCTCAACATGCTGCCATTTTTGGGTGGGCGTTGTTCAATGTGTGGTTCTCGTTTTGCTACTAAAGGTGGCGACCAAAAATGGCTGGGATTTTGGTCATTTTTCTTTGGGAAAGATGACTTTTGACAATCACGCCATCGGTGCCAGCAACATGTCGACTTTGGACACACAATCGCATGCTTGCTTTTCCTCACAACATCATCCAATCGTCTTCCGAGTATTCGACAACCAACAACGCCACTCACAA